TAGTTAACAGAAAAAAGTTTCACTTTTCAGTCTTTGACTTCTCCCCTCCTCCCACAATATTTCAACTGTATTAAATTTAAAGACATGTCACATCCAAACGAAGTCTGGTTGATTTGCAACTTATATTGTTTCCTGTTTTGGCACATACTTAATATTAACCTCATTAAATTCGATCTCAAAATAGTCACTATAAAGGAATAAATATTAAAAAAAGTCTTAATAAATTCCATTGAGCACAAAACTAATCCAAATCCGATTTCAATTATTTGGTGATTCTAAAATACGTTGTTTTTTTTTTTTTTTTTTTTTTTTTGCCGAAATTACAATTATTTTTTTTTATCTTGTATAACTTTTGTAAAAAAAACTATGTTGACTGTGTTCAAGCATCATCGCATACAGGTTTGTTTTATAAGACAGCTGATTGGATAAAAGTGATAGATTGCCACAGCTACATTAAACTGGTGTCCAATCAAAGGCCTTCAGAAACTTGTCAATAAAAAAATTACTGCAAACATGGTTAAGTTAGAGATTTGATTGTGTATTCGATATTTGAAAAAAAAGATGTTAGATAGCAGAAACATATAATACGTCTCTGTAGATAGTTTCTATTCATTCAACATTAAATTGCGAAGAAAGTGTCGAGTAACAACCCTCCCCCTTTTTCGGTCTTCGCCTTCAAATTTTTACACTTTCTTTTTAAACGGAGAAATATATAAATATGACCGTACTGTAAGTTTCTGAATTTTACAAGAATTCTATATAGCAACGTCTGACTCCCGGGAACATCATATTTTCAAGATTTGCCAACCTCTGAAAAAAGTTAGATCATACAATGTTCATCTACCGTGTGCAGAAAAATAACCACCAAATCATATTGGCAAATTGGAAAAGATTAAGAAAAGTTTTATATCCGTACTAAAAATCTTCTGCAATTATTTGAAACAAACAAAAATATGTTTCTCTCTGCCTGAATGCAATCGAAAACAAATTTTCATTTTATTCTTTATCTATTTGCAAAAGATGAAGAGTGCTCCTTGAAACTGTAAATTATTGAAAGACAGACTAACGATAAAATACAAGTAAAATTGAGAATGGAAATGGGGAATGTGTCAAAGAGACAACAACCCGACCATAGGACAGACAACAGCAGAAGGTCACCAACAGGTCTTCAATGCAGCGAGAAATTCCCGCACCCGCAGGCGTCCTTCAGCTGGCCCCTAAACAAATATATATACTAGTTCAGTGATAATGAACGCCATACTAAACTCCAAATTGTACACAAGAAACTAAAATTAAAAATAATACAAGACTAACAAAGGCTAGAGGCTCCTGACTTGGGACAGGCGCAAAAATGCGGCGGGGTTAAACATGTTTATGAGATCTCAACCCTCCCCCTATACCTCTAGCCAATGTAGAAAAGTAAACGCATAACAATACGCACATTAAAATTTTCAAGAGAAGTCCGAGTCTGATGTCAGAAGATGTAACCAAAGAAAATAAACAAAATGACAATAATACATAAATAACAACAGACTACTAGCAGTTAACTGACATGCCAGCTCCAGACTTCAATTAAACTGATTGAAAGATTATGTCTTCATCATATGAATATCAGGCACAATCCTTCCCGTAAGTGCATGTGTACTACCATCCAGGGAAATGAGTTTTCCATAAAGTAACTAATCCTTAATTCACAGCCGTCCATGTACATGCAAAACTCTGGATTCATTTTTGATATTTTACCTGAGATAAATGCTTCTTTTTGTAGACAAGTAGCAAATTGAATAAGGACATTTTGTTGAAAAAAAATAATTAAATTACATGCACATCTTTCTAAGTAAAGTGGCAAAAATACGCATATAGAGTTACGTAGATGCGAAAGAATAATTATATTAATGGTAATCTACGACTATTTTATAGATTAAAAGATTATCGGTCGAACACTACACACGACTCATGATTTCAAATGTACATAATCTAAAACAGGTTTATTTATTTTTTCTATAGACTGCATTCCGAAGTGCACATGCTTTGCTATGCTCGTTGAATGTTCAGCGAACAATATTACATGATATGCAGAATGATATCAATCGATAGCAAAAAAGAAAGATTAAATTTTTTAAAATCAGAACATTCCTTAAATTCAACATTTAAAACAGTTTTTTAAAGCACCAGCATGCATATTTTGATTATATAAATTTAAAATTGAGAATGACTGATGTACTTATTATTCTATCTAACAATTAGCGTTGGTAGTGGCGGCAGCTTTCTCTCCCTGAGTGATCCCAAAGAGTTACTGGGGAATAGAAATATGGTCACTACAGGTCTTCTTCCTATCGGCAGTAAAACCCTTGCCAAAGTAGGGCGTCCGTTTGGCTGTGCGGGATGTATCAAGTACGCAGCCACGTCCGGTCAGAATGGGGACGTTAAATCCGATGCCTCGTGTCGAGAGAGTGTCACGCTCTCTGCACGTTAAGAACCCTTGCAACAACTCTTTGAGGGGTTCTTAGGTGGCCTGTTGCAAGGCTAAATTTGTCTCTATCCAGTATACCCTCATTTTCAAGTGGCAGTTCAAATTTTCCCGTGGCAGTCTAAATTTTCCCGACCTGCAACCCAGTTGACCTCTATTACCGGACCTACCTATTGTTTTTATTGTTAATTTGTTCTCGTCCTGAACATGCATGAAATATTTGACACTGGCCGTTAAGCAACCAACAATCAATCAATCTCCCTGAGTGCGGGAGGTCCTTTTTTAACGGCAAACGGACAGAAAGTCACAGGACTAAAAAGTCACATGATAGAAAGTCACAAATTTGATAGGACAAAAAGTCACAAATAATTTGTTGACAAATGTTTGAATATATAAGAGAAAGATCTTGAAATAATTACTTTTTATTACATATATAATTTTTTACAGTTTAGGAAATTGTTCATTAGCCTTGATAATTAAAGATTTATTAAATTTTAATCATGCAAAAGGATATATTTTTTAACACCATGAAGCCGTTTAGGTACGAAGCCACTTTTTTTTTAAATAAGTATTTTTTTATTCAAAGAAAATAATCTCAAAAACTGAATTGTGACTTTTTGTCCTGTGACGTTTTGTCCGTGACTTTTTGTCCTGTGACCTTCTGTTCTACATTCGTTTCAACTTTATTCATACATAATGCGTGCTTGTGGAAAAGAAGTAAATATCAATCTCGAATGAGTATGTTGGGTTGTTGAACGGAATGTAGGACAGAAAGTCATAGGAAAAAAGTCACAGACATAAAGTCATGGACAAAAAGTCACAGGACTAAAAGTCACAATTCATTTTTTTAGATAATTTTCCACAATGTCACCTGTGTCTTTTCCTCGACATAAATGTTTAAAAAATATAAATAATGGTTACAATTGTAGCGTAATGAACTGCATTTGAACCTAACCTAGCTTTAATGTTCTGTTGAATCAGTTGAACATCTAAGTGGTTATCGATGTGAAATACTTAACACTGCACATTAATTTTACGATCGATACAATACAATCAATGCATTTCTATCAATCATTTACTTTAGTTAGACTTTTGAATGTAACAATATGGTACTCATTTACTTAATTTGTATATTTTTTTATCGAAATGAAAATGTTATAAACTGCTACCGGTTATTAGTACACGTCAGTTCGTTACGTACGTTATTTCATAGCTTTTATGTCAATTGCGAAAAATCAAGTAAGCGTCTCATTGTTTTTAGAATGAGAAGTTTAAAACACTGCTGCTATAAAAAAAAAAAAGACAAATCTGCTACGAAACAGAAATATATACCGTACACTAGATTTATAATTATGTACATTTTCTTTTTATCAATCGTTTCTTAACTTGTGCCATTTTATATTTGTCTATAATATAATTTATTCTTTATTAGTCCTCGCTAAAAAAAAAACTTGATGGAAAAAATGTCAGGGAAGTATCAAAACCGGGCTTTATAGGTACCTAATGGTAAATATAAACTGTAAACTAAACGATTAAAATATGCTTGTATTCTTGTTGCATTTATTTTGAAAAAATAATGTTTTATAATTTTACCCTGTTTATCCTTATATATGATAAAACATGGAAATATATTTCATTTTACTTTCATGGATAAAACAGCCATTTTTTTTAAATGTAAATAACTTTCACCAAACGTCTGTCATCTGTCAAAAATTAAAATGATTAAAGTAAATCAGATGGAAGTTCTCAGAATTTATTTTCCCTGGCAAATTTTATAAGGCTAAGAAAAATTATTTTACATTACAGACGGAAATTTGTTTAAGAACAATTTTGAGATATATTGCTAATCATTGTATCTTTACAGATGGAATGAATAAATACAGGATTACTTAATGCCAGAAAGCACGACTTCAAAGTTTTTATGACTTGCACACTTTTCCGGTTACAACAATTATGCATTCCTTATATAACCAATTAAATGTTAAAAATTATTCGAAAAAAAATGAATTATAAGTTTGCATACGTTATTTAATGAAATAGACATACAATATTACATTAAAAGACCACAAAAGAATATCCTCCAAGCTTTGCCGATTTTATTCATAAAGGGGGAGCAACCCCTGATAAATATAGAGAAAGTGTTGCCCGTTTTGCATCCGAATATTTAAAATCTTAACACGACTGAACACGATCTTACAAAATCTAAACAGCATTTTTACCTTTGGTCTGATTTGATCTGAACGTGGTCTGATCAAGTCTTAATCGAACGCTAGAAAAATCTGTCTTGTTTATCTTGACATGACTGAACGGACTGAACAAGGTATATCGGAACAGCGTCTGAGTGTCTGAAAAAGTCTTAACGTTTTTCTCTTGCGGTATATTCAGTCGATTAAGACTTGATCAGACCAAAATGACCGTTTCAGACTGAAATCTTGCTACTAATGAATGATAATATTCATTTTATAATTCAAATGAGAAGACTAAATGGCTATATCATGATTTATTATTTTATAATTATTAATTTTTTCAGCCGTACTGGAGACTTTCGAACATCAAGGCGACAATCGGTTTACACATTATGCTGTTGAAAATTCTACTTTTATTAGTTCTGTTGGAATATACTCTACAAGGTATATCTCTGTACTGATATTTTTGTTGCAATAATTGTTTTTTTTTTTCTGTTTTTTTTTACTGACCTTTTCTTTACCATGGAAGCAAATTGTTTTTATTTGGTGGAGGAATTTAAAGTACCCGACATTCGATAGGAAAATTCTATTCTACCATTAAAAGAGAGGCGAAGTACATACCAAAGGTGCATTTAAACTCATAAACTGACAACGCCATAGCTAAAAAAGAAACAGACAAACAGACAAACAACAGTACACAAAACACAACATTAAAAACCAAAGACGAACCCCACTAAAAACTGGGGGTGATCTCAGTTGCTCCGGAAGGGAAAGCAGATCCTGCTTTACATGTGGTATCCGTCATGTTGCTCATGTTAGTAGATACCCGCTGATAAGTCTTATTCAGTAAGTCACTTTCGGGGAAAAGGGGGGGGGGATTGTAGTTACGGCAATTGAAACATATCCGTTGTCATCTGTGAAACAGATATTCCATAACGGTTAACCAACTCGTGATGACGTCAGTAAAAGTTACGAAGGGACGATTTTAACTTCACCACTTGGAACTCTTGGTTAAAAGCTTCCTTGTGAACAGCAATCCTCTATCAAGAAAATCATGATAGGAAATACAAGCCCTGGAATATCGTATCAATTAGGAGATATATACTCCGTATGCAGGCGCTGCTGGAATGTTGCTTCATAGAAATGGAAATTCACAATTGGGAAGCTGAAATCTTTTGTGACAGTCGTAAAGTTTTGTTTTCAGCCGACCATCATTATCAGTTTCTAGATGTAAGTCATCCGGATAAGAAAATGATCTTGAGTGCATGATTAAAAAAAAACCAGTTTGCTCAAAAAATTAATTCATGTAGCTCCGGACAATTTGTTGAAATCGGGAATATGTCATCTGATCGAACTATTGTAATACATACCATTTACCTTATTTAAGATATCGTCATAATATTTTGTTATTGCTTTCTCTTTTCAAGGACGTCATGGACGTCAGTATTACCGACACAAAGGTCACCATAACCGACAAAAACGTCACCATAACCGGCACAATGGTAAGACATGCATCAATGTTTTGTTTCTTGAATTTAGTAAAATAACATCAATGGCACTAATTTTACTTTACAAAATGCTCATTTCGACAAATTATGTCTCTTTATTGATGCTTGAGGCCAACAGAAATGAAAGTCTAAAACCTTATGCTTACATCTACTTGATTTGAACTCTGGTGGATAGTTGTCTCATTGGCGGTTATACCACATCTCGTTATTTTTATACTGTAGAGATATATTATGTATTATGGATAAGATATTGGGATATTACATATACACATTTGACGTGTTTTCTGTAGTTATGTTTGTCGTTGGCTTATTGTCTAGTTGACCTTTTACTGACCCCACAACTCCATCTATTCCTATATACCATGGAATGGTAAGAGGCCATTAATGATCTACCAAGGTGTTATTTAATTTCACAGGGACAAATAGCACTCACAAACATGTTCAGCTTACTGTTCGGTGTGAGCCAAGGCTCCGTGTTGAAGACCGTACTGTGACCTATAATGGTTTACTTTTATAAATTTTGACTTGGATGGAGAGTTGTCTCATTGGCACTCATACCACAACTTATCAATTGTCCCTCCTGCTGTTGAACAATTCTGACAATTAAATGTGAATAATATGTGTTTATCTGCGGTTTAAATGTTGTAATGTACTATTATATTATTTATTTATGTATTTCTTTGTGCTGATGTTCCTGCCTTTGTTTGTACTGTATTCCTGGCACGTAGTGTTGTCATTTTAGCGGTATTTTTAACATTGACATATAAGCGAGAGGTTTGGCTAACCTTTAAACCAGTTTCAATCCACCATTTTGTCTTAAAATGTCCTGTACAATTCAGAAATATGGCAGTTGTTATCTACAGTTCGTTTCTATGTATGTTGGCGTTTGCTTTTGTTGTAGTTCAGTGTTTCTGTTGTTACGTTTTTTTCAGCGGTATACTACTATCACATTACAGATATACCCCCTTTAAGAGGTCATTAAGATATAATTACAATCATTTGTAAAAGTTATCTCTCACATTACAGATTTACCCCTTTAAGATCTAATTCCCAGACAATTTGAAAATCTTGCCTCTCTTCAACCAGATATAAGCTGTATTAATACTTGATCAGTAAAATTTGGAATAGAAACGTATATCCTTTATATTCCTAGATCTGTAAAAGAAAAACGTTGCTCTGCTCACTGAGATGTAGCCAATGTGGTGCAGGATCTGATTACCCTCCAAGAGCAACTGATATCACCCGGTTTTGGGTGGTATTCTGTACTGTAAACCGGTAAATTGTCGCGCTGTCTTCTTTTCGCGATTTACCAACAAGATCTAAATTCGCGCCGTTTTGAATTCGCGATGTCCCGATGTCCTTTACAAGTTTTTCATAAAAAATTTGCAAACTGTACAGTTTTACATGTTTTTTTTTAATTAAGTGATAAAATAGATCAGAATTCCTTTGTTGGTATATATTTAAAGCTATAATTCATGTTTGCTTGTAAAAACACAATCAAATGAAACATAGAGGAATGACATGATTAAGACTGAACTAAATGTTGACAGTATAACTGCTAATTAATAAATCTTATAATCTGATCGATCTGTGTAGCAGATACAATGAGGTAATCATTTTAAACCTTATTGACAGGTGTCATTTACATAACAGTAACGATAGTTGTTTATTTAGCAATATCCGTTGTGTTCACTTGCTTGAGATGTCATCCATGTTGATTAGACTATAATGTATTAAAGTTTTGATCTCTAACATTGACCTTCATTAAGAAATACAGTTATGTTTTGTAGTCAGTAAAAAATGTTTTAAATTGGTCAACTACATATCCTATTGATACAAGGTCATGTATGGTCTTCATCTTTGTGTTCGGTTTTCTTTGAAATATTCGTGGTCGTTTTATTTTCTCGCTTTAACTCTTACCTCGAAAATAGCAAAAATAAAACTGCCGTGAAAATTTCCCTGTTTACAGTATTTAGTTTTCTATGTTGTGTTTTGAATACTATTGTTTGTCATTTGATCGTTTTTCATTTAGTTGCCATGACATTGCCATGGTTATTCCTTTGGTATATTTCGCATCTCTTTTATCACTATAATTAAGATTTTTCTTAACAGAAAGCTGATGTTTGACCATTTTAAATGATAAATTAACCATTGCTTCACTCACAAATTGTTTAAGTTTTTTACACTTATTTCAGTACTATATATAAAAAAAATGTAAAAGAACAAAACAAAAATACCGAACTCCAAGGAAAATTCAAAACTGAAAGTCCCTTTTTAATGAAAAAATCAAAAGATTTAACACATCAAACGAATGGAAAAACAACTGTCATATTCCTGACTGTCATAGGCCTTATTACATTTCAGGAGTACGATCTTGGAGGCATTCAAATCGATACAGAGGTAAGGGACAGCAATGATTTGTTTTAACACTATATGGATAAAATAAAGAGATATGACGCTCTAGTTATCATACGAGCAATTACAAAGCCGCCCAAACCCAGCATGCTCAGGTAAAGGGGACTTTCACAAACATGTTTTTGTGTCTGTGAGATTGTCCACTGTTTTAGTTGGATGCCGTCCCTCTTTATTGTTTTTTTTTTTTTTTTGCCATTTCTTTTCATTTCTCTATTATCGGGACATTTTGTTTCTTATTTTGCGGCGTTTGCTTACTGTTATCTCAGTACGGATGTATGTGTTTACGTGCTTATTATTGAATCGACAGAAAAATATCAATAATAGAAAAACAAAGGATATGGGGTCTCCATCCATGTTCACTTTATATTTGAAGGATTAACTTGAATTAAGAAAAACATAAATCGTCAGATACTTTAGTTCTATATGGTTAACAAGTAGGATTCAGCTTTCGGAACCATAAGAACATTGCTATAGAGGTTTTGTTGTACTCCGACCAAAATTTCATATTAATAACAAGCCAGTTTTTATATTAAAATAAAATGTATTCAGGTCTAAATGTTGTTTGTTGGAGAACAACATAAGAATTTTGTTATTCGATAAATTAAGCAATTCTTATGTTTTTTTTATTAACTTTTCGTCATTGAAAATTCTTTTCGAATTTTATTCTGCTTTCAACATTTTAAAATTTACAATATCATATATTTAAAAAAGAGGCGGAAGTTACCAAGGGGATATTTAAAGCTAATAATTTGAAAATAAATAAAAAATACCATAGCAAAGAGTAAGAAAAAAACAACAAAAAGACAAACAAGTCCAAACAACATGTCAAATGTTTAATCAATTCGTCAATTTCAAATATTTAACATATGTACATATAATATCGCTAAGCATAGAATTACTTTCAGGTAGCAAACCGACACAATACTATAGGTACGGACCAAGGAAACCTACTCTGCCGCCATCTACAACTACAACTCCACCTGTAATTACAACGCCACCTGGTGGCAGAGATGTTCGTTTGCCGCTCAATCTGTATCCAGTTTTATACGAACTTGAACTACAACCTTTTATATATGAAACAAATCCAACAGACTTCTATTTTATTGGAAAAGTTACGATTGAAATGGAATGCAGACAGTCAACAAACGAAATCGTTCTACACAGCAATCAGCTTAACATTACGACAAGTTCTGTCAGAATAGAACCAATGGCACCTGGACAAAATCCAATTATTCCTACAATAGAATTTGATACTGTCAATCACTTCCTGATTTTGAAAACAAATACACAGTTAGTGAGCGGATCGAACTATTCTGTTTACATTGAGTTTCGTGGACCTTTACTTTCTAGACCGCCTGGGTTTTATCAAAGTTCATACCAACGTGGAAATGATACAATGTAAGTAAAACTTAGAAGTTTGAACAGTATACACAGCTACATCAGTACAAGCAATCTTTTTTGTTTATCTGTAAAGATTCATATACCCTTCTAATATGTTCTTCTCTTACAATTTATGATGGCATGATACTTAACCCCTTACGGGAGGGTTTGTGCGTGATTTTCATATGATGGAGACATAATCGTTCAATCAGTATGATTGAAGTCTGGAGCTGGCACATCAGTAACTGCTTGTAGTCCTTTGTTTATTTATGTTGGTCATTGTCTTTTTGTTTAGTTTCGTCTGTTACCTATTCTAACATCTGACTCGGACTTCTTTTAAACCGAGTTTCACTGTACGTTTTGCTGTGTGGTTGTATATTCCACAAGTAAAGGGAAAGGGTTGAGTCCCGAAAAACACGTTTAACTATGTCGCATTTTTGCGCCTGTCCCAATTCAGGTACCCCTAGCCTTTGTTAATCTTGTTTGGTTTTAAAATTTTGGTTCATTTGTTTCAGGGGTTAGTGTGTTGAACTAATAGGCATTATTGTTCAGCGGCCGGCTGAAGCACAACTCCGGATGAGTGATTTTTTTGCTGCAATAAAGACCCATGGTGGCTTTCAGCTGTTTTCTGCTCTTTGGTCGGACTGTTGTCTCTTTGACAGATTCCCCGTTTCCATTCACTATTCTCTATACCCTGTACATATTTTGAGATGCATGTAGATTGTACATCTCTTGAGAAGCATATAAAATGCGTATCTGTTAAGATGCATTTAAACAAACGGTGGATCTGTGAATAAGAGTATACTATGTTCATCTTTAAAGATATATTTTAACTGTGTATATACATCTTTACAGATATACAGTTGATATACATTTTTACAAATGTACAGTTTATATGTAAAAGTCACACTAAACTCCAAAACATATAAATGAACTAAAATTTAAAAAAAACATACACGATTAACAAAGGCCAGAGGCTCCTGACTTGGGACAGGCGCATACATGTGGCGGGGTTAAACATGTTTTGTGAGATCTCAACCCTCCCCCTATACCTCTAGCCAATGTAGAATACACAAACACACAGCAAAACGCACAGTAAAACTCAGTTTAAAAGAAGTCCGAGTCCGATGTCAGAATAGATAACAAAAGAAACTAAGCAAAATGACAATGATACATAAATTAACAAGGGACTACTAGCAGTTACTGACATGCCAACTCCTGAGCTCAATTAAACTGATTGAAAGATTATGTCTTCATCATATGAAAATCAAGTACAATCCCTCCCGTTAGGGGTTTAGTATCATACCATCATAAAATATATGAGAAGAACATAACCCGTATCATATCAACAACTGGTTTTAGAAGAAATGTGTTTTGTTTCCGATGCAAAGACCCTATGAGTGAATCAATATTAATACCAAAATATGCCATCTTTAATGACCTGACAACAGTATCGTAACTATATCTTTTCTGAATAAGTCTGTTTAAAGGTTTATATGTATGCTGTGAACCAATCAAAATAATAATGTTCTTGTATTGTCAATAATTATATATTTGTTCATTATGTATTCAACAGTTATATTGCCTCAACACAGATGGCGCCAACCGATGCAAGAAAAGCATTCCCGTGTTTCGATGAACCAGCTGTAAAAGCGAGATTTAGTGTGACTCTTATCAGAAAAAAACACTTGATTTCCTTGTCGAATATGAACCAAATCCGATCCAAGATCTTGTAAGATTTGATTTCTTTATATTTTTAAAAGAAAGAGGTATAATAATCTTCAATGTAGCCGAACAACAGCATTGTTAAGGATGTTCGCTCCTCTTGTTTTTGAATTTTTGCCAGATTTTCGGAATCCTCTGGTTTTATCGATGTTTGGCCATTACATAATTTTGTCCACTAACCCGTACTTTTCTTTTCATAATTTCATTACATAGTTTAAAAAACTATATTTGAAAATCTTATAGAATCCTTGTTATTTTTTCATTGTTTTTGAAAGAAAAAAGGTGCCAACGTTAAAAGTATAAAAAAATCAGGAGATAATCATTTCCCGCCAATTTTTCAATGGCTTATATCTCGAAAACAAGCACACGGACCCTTTATTTTTTTCTGCTTTTTTAGTTCCTTTATTTATATACTATCAGTTTATAACAGTTATTGAAAAAGCTTATTATTTTGAAACAAAGTAGCGAACATTTTTAACCTCTAAATATAGATAATGTCGATTCATATATATCACGTGATACATATACGATAGATTAATCGACCTCAGTTTTTGGTGGGGTTCGTGTTGCTCAGTCATTTGGTTGTGTTATGTATGGAGTGTCTTATAGACGTTTGAATGTATGCTTGGTCTCTTCCTCCGTTTGTATTCAACTTCTTAGTTTTGACTCTTTCAGGTATCTTCCGCCTTTTTTTGTTTTTATGAAACAGATCATTTTCTCTTTACGAATGGAAATTTATTTCTGAACTTTTTTGCATTCGTAAGCTTTTCCCAAAGGAAATCAAGTTTTAAAAGTAACTATCAATATATCGTCCATCTTAGACCTAGAGGATATCAAGTTTTAAAAGTAACTATCAATATATCGTTCATCTTAGACCTAGAGGATATCAAGTTTTAAAAGTAACTATCAATATATCGTCCATCTAAGATCTAGAGGATATCAAGTTTTAAAAGTAACTATCAATATATCGTCCATCTTAGACCTAGAGGATATCAAGTTTTAAAAGTAACTATCAATATACCGTTCATCTTAGACCTAGAGGATATCAAGTTTTAAAAGTAACTATCAATATATCGTCCATCTTAGATCTAGAGGATATCAAGTTTTAAAAGTAACTATCAATATATCGTCCATCTAAGACCTAGAGGATATCAAGTTTTAAAAGTAACTATCAATATATCGTTCATCTTAGACCTAGAGGATATCAAGTTTTAAAAGTAACTATCAATATATCGTCCATCTTAGACCTAGAGGATATCAAGTTTTAAAAGTAACTATCAATATATCGTCCATCTTAGACCTAGAGGATATCACGTTTTAAAAGTAACTATCAATATATCGTCCATCTTAGATCTAGAGGATATCAAGTTTTAAAAGTAACTATCAATATATCGTCCATCTCTTTAAATGGACCTGAAGGAATGTCTACAGGTCATCAGCAACTGCCCTTTTATGTAACTGCAAGTCGGATGGCAGAAATGAGAAATCGGATAGGCAATCGTTGAATTTATTCGCTTACACTTCTAAACCAATTTTGAACTGAAACGGTCATTCTACATGTTCTAATAAGGATAGCTCTTTAAATACTGAACAATAAAGTGTTCAGTCTATCAGTTAATTTCAGACTCAACGTCGGTTAATTCAGTACTGTTTAGACAGTTTGCCTTCAGTCAATTCAGATCTGTTCAGTCTATGTTCAGACTATTCAGCAGTTGTTATTTACCTGTGCACATCAAGACCGAATTGTATTGACTTCACGCGAATGTCTAAATTATCGCAGGGGATAAGTCTGAAAATTGACTGAAAGACTGCACATAATTTGATAATTTATTGTTCAGACTTTTCAGATACTGTTAAGATCAAAATGGACGTGTAAGACTAAACTACGTTTACTTGATTTTGCAACAATAGTTCAAGCTCTTAATAGACATTAGTCATTAAAAAAGGCGAAAAAAATATAAATAAAAAAAACATGTAAAATAAGAGAGAAAAACTACAGAAAAAAGGCTAAAAAATCTGTACTGCATGGTGATTGTTCAACAAGTATCTGGTACTGAAAATACATGAATGCAGGGGTTATTCGTAATATGAGTGTAATTCAGGATTGAAATTCACATAATATAACCTGTCTGAAAGCTGAATAAAATGTAAGAAGTAGGTCCGTGGCTTTACTGGCTATTTTAATGTCTTGTGAAGTTCTCGTTATCAACATCTTTAAGTCGCAGCTGGCTCTGTAATTTCAGAGAAATATTGAACAACTTGCATTTCCTATATGATATCCGTGATAGTGGGTTGCTGCATACATGGAAGCTACATAACCAAAAGTTTCAAGTGGTGAAGTTGGAGTCATCCCTTTGAAAAATTTACGGACGCCATCACGAGTTGGTTTGCCGTTATTGAATATCTGTTTAACAGATTACGACGGATATCTTATAATTGTCGTAACCACAATACCGTCCTCTTTTAACTTGAATTTGACATCACCGAAGTAGACTCATAACCGAAGTCGTACTCACATGAGCAAAATGGCGGGAGGGGGGCATGTGGAGCAGGATCTGCGTACCCTTCCGGAGCACCTGATATCACCTGCCGGGTTTTAAGGGTTCGTGTTGCTAATTCATTAGTATTCTATGTTGTGTTTTGCAAATTGTTGTGTATCTTTTAGTCTTTTTCGGTTTTTTTTGTGAGTTTGAATCTCTTTGGTGTCTACCGCCTCTCTTTAGTATTTGTTGGAGTATCCCTTTGGTATCTTCCGCCTCTCTTTAGTATTTGTTGGAGTAACCCTTTGGTATCTTCCGCCTCTCTTTAGTATTTGTTGGAGTAACCCTTTGGTATCTTCCGCCTCTCTTTAGTATTTGTTTTAATATCCCTTTGGTATCTTCCGCCTCTCTTTCGTATTTGTTTGAATATCCCTCTGGTATCTTCCGCCTCTCTTTAGTATTTGTTGGAGTATCCCTTTGGTATCTTCCGCCTCTCTTTAGTATTTGTTGGAGTAACCCTTTGGTATCTTCCTCCTCTCTTTAGTATTTGTTGGAGTATCCCTTTGATATTTTCCGCCTCTCTTTAGTATTTGTTGGAGTAGCCCTTTGGTATCTTCAACCTCTCTTTCGTATTTGTTTGACTATCCCTTTGGTATCTTCCGCCTCTTTTTATTATTTGTTTGAATATCCCTCTGGTTTATGCCGCCTCTCTTTTGTATTTTTTAAATATGCCTTTGGTATCTTCCGCCTCTCTTTATTATTTGTTTGAATATGCCTTTGGTATCTTCCGCCTCTCTTTAGTACTATTTGTTTGAATATGCCTTTGGTATCTTCCGCCTCTCTTCAGTACTATGTGTTCGAATATGCCTTTGGTATCTTCCGCCTCTCTTTAGTATTTGTTTGAATATGCCTTTGGTATCTTTTACCTCTCTTTAGTATTTGTTTTAATATTTTTTATGTTTTTATAATGCAGTTTGTGTATCATTGATGAGTCCTCAGTGTTTTTTAACTTCGTACTTTATTTGGCCTTTTTCACTTTTTTACTCGTGCGTCACTGATAAGTCCTTTGAAGACGAAATGCACGACTGGCGTACAATATTTCAGTCCTGGTAATTATGATAAGATTATTAAAAGCTTCGTTTACATTTTTTTTTTCACATATCGTTTACATTTCTTTATTTTTCAAATAGGAATGATTTTGAAAGATATAACATTTTAGGCAAAGTAATTATGAGTTATGGAACTATGTATCAAAATCATAGTAATTATAACTAAAAGTGGCTGTCCGTGTTAAAAATATTCTTAATATTACATTTATGGAACAGGAAAGACACGACAATGAAAAAAAAAGCTGGAAAGGAATGAAAGAAAACACATACTTGGCATAACTATGATCTAAAGAAATAATTCTGATATATTTTAATAAATAAGTTTAAAACATTTTTTTTTATCAAATCCGCTCTGTTTTTATTTTAGAGACAACAACTGGGTGGCAGATCATTATGCAGTTACACCGTTGATGTCAACTTACTTATTAGCTTTCGTTGTTTGTGATTTTACATTCAAAGAAGAAACAACTGACAATAATGTATTAGTAAGTATATCTGTAAAAGTTCAATAATCAATTCGTTCTTCCGTTTGTTAGTGCGAATGGTACTAAATAACTGCGAGAATAGGTTAATTAGAATGTATGGAACAACTTAAGGTAGTTTTCGATCCGCTTAACTTTATCTTTAACAATTCCAGAACTTTAGTCCATGATTTTCAACAAAAAAGTGTATACATTATAAGACGACAAGTAAACGGCTATGTTCTCTACAAAATGGATTGAAATGTTATATTTTACGACAATGCTACTCAGATTGAGCTTTACGGTCATCGTTTAGTGGAAATATAAAAAACAATACATGAAATGACATTTTTGTTTAATTATTCAGTTTTAATAACAGCTGTTTTCAACAAATTATACAAAACTTATCCAAGATACAGACATATATAATAAACCATTAATTTGAATATATAAAAAGTATTGTATTTTATATGTGGACATATTCAAATGAAAACGTTGATATAACAGATAGATGGATTTGATTTAACATTAGCTCTAAAGGTTGCTAAATGTGTTTTTTTAAGAAGCAGAGATATCCAAGGGAAAATTAAAACTTTTAAGTCAAAAAGAGAACAACAAAATTATGTCAACAAACGAAAAATCAATATATCACAAACAACAGTCTACAAAAGACTACATATAAATCTTTAGACTGAGCAATATAAACCTCAACTAAACCCGAGGGTGATATCAGGTTCTCCGGAAGGGTAAGAAGATCCTGTTCTAAAAAATAAACCACTACATAACACTGCATAAAATGCAAAAAAAAACCGGAGCGAAATAGAAGTAGAAACGGTGTGGAATCTTCAGATAGATTTCGTTAGCGTTGTCCCTTCTCACATTTTTGTGATTTGAGAGTTACACCATGTCCGATAAAGATCTAACGTTCTTAAACCATAAATGACTTTTGAACTGCGTATTTTTGTTCAATATCTATTTCCGTATTTAATATGCGAAATCTAATGCTTATTTCTGAATTTCTGCTCATGTTTAAACATTAGTAATAATTTTAAATATACGAAAGATGAATGTTCGTATGTTATAAATGATGTCATGTCATTACCGAGTTCAAAGCACTTAATACTGAGCAAATGATACATGTGCGCTCGGGGTCTAACAATCCCTAAGCGGTGGTATCATTTTAGTGCTAGTAATAACCCGAATAATTCAGTCCCTCCCCGTGATCGACTCTCCCACTCGCGAGGGCCTGAATTCTTTATACAATAAAAACGCGTCACGAATCCAGGATTTTGATTGGTGCTCTCTGTGAGAGAGAGCCAATCAGCTAATAGCTCAATGTTATCGAGATGGGTAAATCCCGAGCTAGTTCCGAATGATTATTTGACGATTGTTTATTGACAAGGCCTTCAGGCGTTTATGTAGCCAACGTAGAGCAGTGGAATATAACGACTGAATTATTCGGGTTATGCTAGTAAATGAAAATAGCACTTTTAGAATTGTGTGGGAAATATAGTGACAAAATATTACCTCCCCTGTAAACACTGAAAACTAGATCTTTTCAATGTTTCTCCCAATTTAGCATGGACGCTATCAATTATAAAATTCACGGGAAAACGTTCTGGTAAATAATAAAAATAGAAATAAGCTGAAATAAAAACAAAACTTCCATTTAATGTTATCATTTCCCTCCTTAAATAGAAAACGACGAGTACAGCAGACTAAAGGAGTTTGGTGTAAAATTGGTTTAAAATGTTGCTATGCGAATAAATTCCTGGAGTACCAACTTCAATTCATTTTTCTACTGGATGTATACCTCTCTTGAACATGCTAATTATCCGTATATATATGCAGCTAGATCAGAGAAAGTCAGGGAAAAAATTCCAAAGGAATGGATTGATATGCAGCAAAGATTGGCACTTTTGACCTTATCCCGATGTAAACATTGAATGTGAATAGATCGAGAAGATGGCAAATGCATGTACGAAAATCGAGACGACCTTTTCTTAAAATTATATAAAAAATAGTAATAAGATGGCTTCTTTATAAGAATATTTATCTTTAATTTTTTTAACCTGCACAAACAGACTTTTATATTGTTATATTCATGAAAAGACAATATTTCTATATTGAATTTTTATGCAACATGAACAGACCGGTGTTCTCGAAAACTTAGAATGTGAAAAATAAGTATATTTTGGGAAATTGTAACATGCTGAGGACTTTGTGAAACACTCAAAAAATTGGTGACCCGAAAGATCTTTAGATTTTGTAGGTACATGACTTTTTCTAATTTTTTTTTTATCAATATGCAGCAAAGATTGTCATTTTTTAGATTACAGTTTCACAATGCAATTATATCGAGAAATACTGAACTTAAAACATCGTGTATTTGCATGTATATTTCTAATAACACAGTTTAACAAATATTTATTTAAAATGTACAATTGTTATTTAGAAATAACTTTTGATCAGTGTCGTCACCGGCATTGTTTTATTATTGATTTTCTCAACTTTATCATAAGAAGAGGTCATTTTTTTTTCTTTTTCACTAGATTTCCCATTGTAAGCGATTAGCAGGGTTCATATTCAAATAGCAATATACATTAGCTTGTTGTCGGCCTGACGAAACAATTGATTTGCATTAGACGTTGAACAGCAATCTATAGTCATCAATACCAAATATATGTTTTGAGACATTTTGTGCAAAAACCATTTTTGGGTAAAGCTTTTACTTATATCTCAATATACGTGATTAAAACTCATGATGATACGGTTTTTGTTATTTTTTGCAATTTTGAATTAAATGCAAGAAATTTGAAGACCGTTGGCAAATATGTAGGACATATATGAAAATATAGATACTAAAATAGATATAATTCCTCATCATCAAGATCATACGTTCTATATTGCATGATGACATAAGAGCAATTATCGCAGTTGGTTTGAATGGTTTTTTAGTGTGCTATTTATAGCTTTGATGTGGAACAGGATCTGTCTACACTTCAGGAAAACCAGATATCACCCCCGGTATTTGGTTCGGTTCATGTTACTAAGACTTTTGATTTCTTTGTTGTGTTTTTATACTCTTGTTTGTCTTTTGATCGTTTTTCGTTTTTTTTTTTGCCATGGCATTGTCAGTTTTTGACTTATGAGTTTAAATATCCCTTTGCTATCTTTCAACTCCCTTTTGAAGCAGTGTCTTAGTTGTCCCTTTCGAATTGTATCTTATTTTGCATATATAATGAATAATATGCGGAATGTAGTTCGTAAAATCTTTTTTCTTGGTTGATAGATGTCTCACTGACAATCATACACATATCTTATTTATATATAGCACATGACATTCAAATCGAATTGTCTTTTTTTATCAGTACAAAGCGTGGACTCGTCCAGAAGCAATCGATCAAACAACATACGCTTTAGACGTTGGTGTCAGAATTCTGACTTTCTTTGAGGAATACTTTGCTACACCATTTCCGCTTCCGAAACAAGGTAAGAGGTATATGTATAAAAATCCATTTCCGCTTCCTTAACAAGGTAAGAGGTGTATTTATACGAATCAATTTTCGCTTCGTAAATAAGGTAAGAGGTATATGTATATGAATCCATTTACGCTTCTTCAACAAGGTAAGAGGTATACCGCTTCCTAAACAAGGTAAGAGGTATACCGCTTCCTAAATAAGGTAAGAGGTATACCGCTTCCTAAACAAGGTAAGAGGTATATGTATACGAATCCATGTCCGCTTCCTAAACAAGGTAACTAGTATTTGTATACGAATCCATTTTCGCTTCCTAAACAAGGTAAGAGGTATACCGCTTCCTAAATAAGGTAAGAGGCAATGTATACGAATCCATGTCCGCTTCCTAAACAAGGTAACTAGTATTTGTATACGAATCCATTTTCGCTTCCTAAACAAGGTAAGAGGTATATGTATACGAATCCATTTTCGCTTCCTAAATAAGGTAAGAGGTATATGTATACGAATCCATTTTCGCTTCCTAAATAAGGTAAGAGGTATATGTATACGAATCCATTTTCGCTTCCTAAATAAGGTAAGAGGTATATGTATACGAATCCATGTCCGCTTCCTAAATAAGGTAAGAGGTATATGTATACGAATCCATTTTCGCTTCCTAAATAAGGTAAGAGGTATATGTATACGAATCCATGTCCGCTTCCTAAATAAGGTAAGAGGTATATGTATACGAATCCATTTTCGCTTCCTAAATAAGGTAAGAGGTATATGTATACGAATCCATGTCCGCTTCCTAAATAAGGTAAGAGGTATATGTATACGAATCCATTTTCGCTTCCTAAATAAGGTAAGAGGTATATGTATACGAATCCATGTCCGCTTCCTAAATAAGGTAAGAGGTATATGTATACGAATCCATGTCCGCTTCCTAAATAAGGTAAGAGGTATATGTATACGAATCCATGTCCGCTTCCTAAATAAGGTAAGAGGTATATGTATACGAATCCATGTCCGCTTCCTAAATAAGGTAAGAGGTACATGTATACGAATCCATTTTCGCTTCCTAAATAAGGTAAGAGGTATATGTATACGAATCCATGTCCGCTTCCTAAATAAGGTAAGAGGTATATGTATACGAATCCATGTCCGCTTCCTAAATAAGGTAAGAGGTATATGTATACGAATCCATTTTCGCTTCCTAAATAAGGTAAGAGGTATATGTATACGAATCCATTTTCGCTTCCTAAATAAGGTAAGAGGTATATGTATACGAATCCATGTCCGCTTCCTAAATAAGGTAAGAGGTATATGTATACGAATCCATGTCCGCTTCCTAAATAAGGTAAGAGGTATATGTATACGAATCCATGTCCGCTTCCTAAATAAGGTAAGAGGTATATGTATACGAATCCATGTCCGCTTCCTAAATAAGGTAAGAGGTATATGTATACGAATCCATTTTCGCTTCCTAAATAAGGTAAGAGGTATATGTATACGAATCCATGTCCGCTTCCTAAATAAGGTAAGAGGTATATGTATACGAATCCATGTCCGCTTCCTAAATAAGGTAAGAGGTATATGTATACGAATCCATTTTCGCTTCCTAAATAAGGTAAGAGGTATATGTATACGAATCCATTTTCGCTTCCTAAATAAGGTAAGAGGTATATGTATACGAATCCATGTCCGCTTCCTAAATAAGGTAAGAGGTATATGTATACGAATCCATGTCCGCTTCCTAAATAAGGTAAGAGGTATATGTATACGAATCCATGTCCGCTTCCTAAATAAGGTAAGAGGTATATGTATACGAATCCATGTCCGCTTCCTAAATAAGGTAAGAGGTACATGTATACGAATCCATTTTCGCTTCCTAAATAAGGTAAGAGGTATATGTATACGAATCCATGTCCGCTTCCTAAATAAGGTAAGAGGTATATGTATACGAATCCATTTTCGCTTCCTAAATAAGGTAAGAGGTATATGTATACGAATCCATGTCCGCTTCCTAAATAAGGTAAGAGGTATATGTATACGAATCCATGTCCGCTTCCTAAATAAGGTAAGAGGTATATGTATACGAATCCATGTCCGCTTCCTAAATAAGGTTAGGTACATATGCATATCCGTTCATGTTAATTAATCAACATACTATAATACCAAACGAAACACTTACACACATTTAGTTCATTAAACATTAGTTCTAATTCTACAAACTTTGGAATACTTTTGTTTATTTTTTTAAAATTAGAATTGAGATCAGGATATGTTAGACATATATTAATGTAATACACTTACCATTGTTGTAATACGTATGGTCTGATATATTTTTCCATTCTTTAATTAATATTTGTTGCTTGTTTGCTAAGCAAAAAGCATTTAGGAGCATGAGAAAGGGTCGACTAAAAAACAAACTTTTGTGTCTCGTAGACTGGATTTCTTGTAGACCTTGACCCTAGAAAATAGCGTCTAGTAAAAACTGTGGTACATAATATATTACTTTTTTTTCAGTGAAATTGGATAACGTTTATACTGTAGGGTGCTTAGCAATCAAAATGAAACAAAAAGAAATGTGTGTAGATACTTTAACAAAACAATACAACATAATAAATAACTTATCAAATTATGGAGAGACACAGTTTCTTCTATCAATTTATTTGCAAAATTATGAAATGTAACACATGAAAATATCACTTTCATTCAACTTTACTAATTGATATTTATTTTGTATTTCTAATAAGTAACGTATATTACATGTAAGCAACGGGATTCATGTTTGCAAATCTACTGCCCCTTCTCAAACGAAACCTTTTTTGGCACGTGTTTTATATCGTTTGCATAAGTGTTTGCTATTTAAGATTTTTTCTTTTCAAGATATGATAGCAGTTCCAGCATTTGCTTTTGGTGCAATGGAAAACTGGGGACTGATAGTCTATAGAGAGACGTTCATGTTGTACGATCCTCTAGATACAGCAGAGAATTTTAAACAGTTTGTTACAATGGTTACCTCGCATGAATTGGCACACAATGTCAGTAAAAAATAAATCTTGATATTCTTTCTTTTTTAAAACATGGCAAACCATCTCTTATTCCAATCGTTGTCTGCTTTCACACTAAGGAGCTTAATTTTCCAACTGGTCATCATTTAACGTGTATTGTTTAACGGTTATTTTGAATTTCGATTTTTTTTTTATTATCAGCACTAATTTGCCAAAGGACAAATACATCATGATAAAACTTAAAACTAATGTTAAAACTCATGATAACACATGACTTGGGACAGGCACTTTATTTAATTAATTAAGCATGTTTTTTTTAACTCTCGTTTTGTTGTCTACCGTCAATTCATATCATTTTCAATATAAATCACATATTATATTCATTTCTCGAAATGTTTCGAAAGGATACGTCTATCGTTGAAGTCTACATTTAAGATTTGTTTTATTTGTTTGAATACATAAATTTATGAATGAATGAACTAGTTTTCACATTTAATGTTTTTAATTTTGAGATCTTATAACACTTGTTAAACTATTCCACATGTTTATATTATAACCCAACTCACCCGGACTCGCTCCTTTTTGAGTGCATGAAATTCCCTCCGTTTTTGTACATTATTTTTACTTTATATCTTTTTAATCGATCTACGAAATTTGAACATCTGATTTGAACATCGGTAAACTACTGACCCCTTAATTAAAAACCACCGTTTTGCACCGATTTGATAAAACAAATATATCCTAATGTGTTCTATATAATCCATTAGCAAATGATTAATACACAGAAAAAAAATAAAATAATGTTTCCAAATAACCTATGTTTTCTTACAATGAAATAGGATTTGTCTCATTGAACTTACAATGAAATAAGATTTGTCTCATTTGACTTTTAATGACATAGTATTTGTCTGATTGGACTTACAATGAAATAGTATTTGTCTCACTTGACTTATAATGAAATAGGATTTGTATCATTGGACTTACAATAAACAAATGACACGAATAATGCTATCTTAAATAAAAACATCAATATTGCATGTATAATGATATGCATATTCCTTTTTTAAACATGCATTCGTACAGGTTTTTAGTTTAATCATATGTAACCACTCATTGATTGTACGATCCACTGAATATCCACATTTTTTTTTGTTCATATATTCACAACTTAGATTTTTATTTTGTAGTGGTTTGGGAACTTAGTGACACCCTCATGGTGGGACGATATATGGCTAAATGAAGGATTTGCCAACTATATAGCATTTGTTGGAATGGATTTCATACAAAAAGACTGGCTGGTGGTAAATATTACATTTCAACGTAATATTACAAATGATATCATTACTATCACATATGCAGGTACATATGTAGTAGGTACATATGTAGTATATGTAGGTTACGTCGAAAACAAAGTTAATTTGTTGCAGAATTGTACGATTTGTGAACTGTTTTGGATTTTGTAGTTGAAAATGACCAAAGAAAAACTCGTGGAATATTAAAATGTTATTTTTATTTGAACACAATACATAATTCAATCCACGACTAGCTACTACTTCAGCAAGTACACAGAAGCCCGACAGACATTTAGAGGACACATTTTCGACTTCAACATAGACAGGTTTCTATATCATATTTCAAGTCTTTTCTTGTTTTTGGGTGTTATTGTTGTATGTTGTTAGTGTAAGTTTGGATGGCTTTTAATAGAGACTTCAAATTTAATAATTTCATTAGTTGCCACAAGTGAATAAAATAACCGAGTAAGCGTCAACGAAAAATGAAAAAAAAAGAATGACTTAAGTCTAGCTTGCAGACATCATCAATTAATGGACAGATGTCTATCTCATATGTAAAGATACAGATCAGTCCGAATGAAGACAAGTTCCAGAGAACTGCCACCAAAGAGTGTAGTAACATTCCGATAAAGCTAAGGACAACTAATGACAATGTTCATAATCCCCTTTTATTTTTGGTCCTTGTTTGCTTTAATTGTTTGATTACTTCTTACGTCTTAAAAAGACTTTTCTATGGCATTCCAAATTCGTCTGTTATGAAAGTTAATTCAGCAAAGTCGGTTTTGCTTTGTAAATATTATTTCATGACATAATATTTTATTTTTCTATTACTTCGTATTAAAAAGTAACGATGAGAATATAGTTTAAGAGGCTCTTATGAGTATCGATCGTTAACCTGACAATCTTTAACTTAATTGGTCTTGAGAGGATACAATCAACTGTATTAATAATCAATTGCTAGAAAAGAAAATAGCACTTTACGTTCGTAGAAACTTTGAAAATGAAGGGTCCTTAGCTTAAGGCAGATCTCAAAGGTTTCATTAAATACCATCTAAATTTATTCATTTTTTGCGAAAATGTAGTTTATATCATGTTGTTTTCAAAAACATAATTAAAAATATGGGTCACAGAACTTTTTTCAAGCCGTACGTTATGCAAAGTTGTCAGATTTTGTAAGGATAATACATAAATAAAAAAAAATGAATATAAGAAAATAGCTCGTAACACGTGCTTTCAGAAAAGAATAAAATGAAAAATTGGATTCGACGTCTTCCTGCACAACAAACACAAAAACTAACCGTTATTGCCTGTATAAAAAAAGTGAGATATCACCCCTTGAAATACAAAGTTTGAAGATGTGAAATCGATGTTAGAAATTTTTATGTAAAAAATGATGTACCAAAAGATAAAGCAATATTTGTTTCCATTCGAATGAACGTCTCAAACATATAATACATATTTCAATCAAAAAATAATATAGACCCCTTAATATGTTAATGATTAATAAAAGGCATTTTTTACAGACAACAAAATATTTAAAGTTTAAAATCAGGTTTTCGTCCATATTTTTTCGAAATATGACTTTTGCAATGTGTAAAAGTTGTTTTAACAATTTGGTTAAATCACAGATTGAATATTTGGATTAATTGAAAATCAGAATCGGTTTAAGTATATCTATATATCTATTTTGTAGCTCGACAATTTTGTGGTCTCAAGTGTTCATAATGCTTTAAGCTTTGATGGAGTAATTTCCTCACATCCTATATATGTTCCTGTTTCTAATACAGATGAAATTTTCCAACTATTTGACAGTATTTCCTACGAAAAGGTACGTATAAAAAATATAAATGTAACCATCTCTGAGATTAAAGATACTTCACTATTTTGGGATATAAAGGTTTTATACTAATGATATGTATACGTATGTTTTGATATCCGTTCATCAACCGTAATTCTATTCAAAAGTCACATGTAATTGTAATAGTTAAAATCGGGAACATGGCAAAAACCATCATCAATGTCATATTGATATATTTGGTAATAATTTTTCAATGGCACAGTTACACAATCCCTTGATTAGAAACTGAGACTTTGAAACGATCAATCGATTAAGTTCAATTGATTGATTGACAGTGTTTAATGCAATTTTCGTCACTTTTTATTGTTTCATAAAGCGGCCAGTTTTTCATTGTTGGAAGAAGCCAGATACAACAATCGGCAGGAAACTGGCAATCCTAGTCAATTAATATCAGAGTCGAAGACACCTTCGACCAGTAGGGTTCGAACTCACAACCTACACAATCTTGACAAGCTAGTAATCACTGTAAATGAACTACAGACAAGTCGGCTGAGAATCCGAATTGATTTAGGTTGACAACCGAACAACTTTTGAAGTGACGTTTTCGTTTCTTTTCTGATCCTTGCGGGATCTGCATAATCTTCAAGAGCACCTTAGATCACCCCTGCATTTTGGTGAGGTTCGTGAATACTGTTGTTTAGTAGAAAAGAAAGGATATGGGGTATCCATTCATGACACAAAATCTGTACATATACTGCAGAAAACATAAAAAGCGGTTGTTGTTGGTGTTTGTCTTTCGGTTGTATTTCGTCCTTTGCCATGGCATTGTCAGTTTTCAATTTTTGATTAATGAGTTTGAATGTACCTTTGGTATCTTTCGCCTCTTAACCGCCTCAGTGGTCTCGTGGTAGCGGGTTCGTCCCGATTGCGGAAGTTTCGTTGGTTAGAACCCTGTCCGAGGCCAACTAAAGTCTTTAAAATTGGTGATTGCTTCTACGCTTAGAACGCGGCATTAAGGAGTAAGAGTAAAGACTGGTCGGCTCGAAGTCAGAATAGTTTTTTCCGGGTAGGTTGAAGTTTCTTCCCGCAGACTGTTACCTTCTGAACTTGCACGTTTAAAATGTAGCTCGGCGTGTCGGTCTAGTACAAAGCAGGGTAAATATTCATATTACATTTACATGTTCTCGTCCTGTATATGCATTTTGTTCCGCTGGACGTTAAACAGCCATCCATCATCATCATCTATTGCCTCTCGTTTACTGGAGTAGTTAATGCGGAAGGAATAAAACCTCCTAAATTGTTTAGAAACGATTGAATTACTCTTCAATGACAAAAGTTAGGTAAAGTAAATGACAATTTATTTCGAAAACTCAACCTTACACGAATAAGAGTTCCAAAATGAACGAAGATGTTTAAATTGCAAACGAAATTTGTTTAACAATAAAAGAAATTAAATATTGATAAATTCAAGAATTCAAAATGTTGGCGTTTCTCAGTTCCAGACAGGTGCTATTTTGAAAATTCTACACTGGTCCGTTGTGCAATCAGATTAATCGATACAAATTAGTTGCATTAAAAATTTTATTTGTTATGAAATGATTTTAAGTCAAAGTGGGATATACAAATCTAAAACCTATCTGTAATGTCTTTTTCAGACTTTAAGTACATTTACTTTTTTTGGTTTATATATATGCAATATAAAAATAAATAATACAATATAATATCATAATTTCTTGTTTGAGACGAATTATATTAATAAATGGCTTTTTAGGGTGGATCTGTTATAAGAATGATGCAATTTTTTTTGGGAGACGAAACATTCAAAAGAGGTCTACAGGTGAGCATAATTAATCTCTAATGTAAACATCGATTTCAGTGCTTCGGTCGATACGGTAGAAAGATGGCACCTGATTCATCCGAGGTATGCCGATTGCACGATATATGTTAACGAAATAATGTCAATCATGTACGCTGGGGACAAATTATCTGCAAGCCTTCTTCATTAATAATTTGATCGCATTTGAACCGAAACAGCTTTGGTTTAATTAAAACCTCAGTTTTATTCTAATTCCACAGAAATGCATTTAGAAAGATTTATGAAAATGACTAGAGAACCAGCTTAAACCAACAGTTTTTGGTGGGGTTCGTGTTGCTCAGTCTTTAATTTTCTATGTTGTGTTTTGTGTACAATTGTTTGTCTGTTGGTATTTTTCTTTTTTAGCCATGGCGTTGTCAGTTTATTTTCGCCTTATGAGTTTGAATGTCCCTCTGGTATCTTTCGCCTCTCTTTTAAAGTAGTAGTAAGATAATGATATCGAGTTCAGTAGGCGTGGCATGTGTTCTTAATCAAGTTCTTACAATCTTCTTACCTTGTATATAATCAAACAAAACAACATTTCAAACTTATCGATGTAAAGTTATTTTTCAAATCATTTTCGAAATATTAACTTTGTTTGTTGTTATCTAATTACCATAGATTTTGTAAAACGAAACAATTAAAGGATGAATTACATGCGAATTGTGCATCCCCAAATTTCACATGTTCAGGTTAGAGATTTCTTGATGACGATATTTCCACGAAGCGCTTCGGACACAATGGAGATTAAAGAGTCAGTCTTCGTCAGTCTGTCCGTAACACATATTTACAACGGTTGTCCAAAACCTTATCTTCTTTATAGGACAAATCGTCACTTTGTGCAGTTTATTTATGTATATCGTTATTTTGTTTTATGACTGTTGCAGAGTCATTGGACTTGGTTCTTACAGTATAAATATTTAGTTGTTTCTGATGGATAATTCTCATTAGAGAACAAAAGCAATATACAGTATAAAAAAATGATTACAGTAGGTGTTAAATCTGTATATTTAAAAACCCATTTTATTAATTAAATAGAATCTTCTATCTTTCATTGAATTAAATCTAACAAATAAACATATAAATAGTAGTTAGCATATCAAAACTTAAAGATAGATGAGGTTTGCTGGTTCAAATTAAGAACGATAAAATTGTTTTCATACTTTGTAAAAATGCAATGCATGCAATCGTGCTATTTTCAAAAGCGTTATTAATTTGTATGGGTCAACGACATGAACAAGCTTTCTTTAATCTACAGGTTGTTCAAAACCGTCAGATTTGTTAGGAAGTAAACATAGGAAAAGCACTGATATGTGAAAAGAAAGAACACTAAATGATGGAATTTAAAACTATGTATGCGAAGATAGCATAATGTGCTTTCAGAAAATTTATTTTTTAACTCAGTAGATAAATTTCATGTCCTTTATAAACCTTGATTATTTCAGTTATCCTTCCTGATATATATTTTTTTTAAACTGAATCCATGAAAACATGTTTTCTTTTATTGTCAAAAAGAATGTTTCCATAAAATATTTATATAGAACACATTTTTGTACTAACTGAAAAGTCTCACAGATAAATGTCATGTCTGTAGGAGATTCCCCTCCAACCATCCCATAATTCAATGTGCATAACACATGTGTTTGGTTTTCCTTTTTAGCTATATATTACAGAAAGAGCATACGGTGTAGCATCACGTGATGATCTGTGGGATGCTTTAGGAAGAGTAAGTGATAACTTTGCTTACGAAAAACATCCATTCACTGTTCACGATACTTCAAAACATCGTTAGAATACTTTCATCTTACTTAAAAACATTCAATTATTATCTATTAGCCCAAACATCAGCAGTCGATATCATTACACATATAATAGAGAATGCCAAGTTATACATTATGTCGCCGATAACAATTCATGATGAGGCATACCAAAAAGGTCGGTAAAGAGGTGGGATGTAATGGGGCAAATAAAGGCACAACTAAGTCCCAGGATCACAAGTGATATGGAAAGGCAGCATATGCTGCTCTACCTTCATTACTAGTCGGTTAAGTCAGTGTTATGAGAACAAAGGGTCAAACTAAGAATCAGTTATCATTTGATTCTGTTTGTTATGATCGAGGTATCATTTGACTCTGTTTGTAATGGTTGTGGTATCATTTGATTCTGCTTGTAATGCTTGTGGTATCATTTGACTCTGCATGTAATGCTTGTTGTATCATTTGATTCTGTTTGTAATGTCTGTGGTATCATTTGACTCTGTTTGTAATGGTTGTGGTATCATTTGATTCTGTTTGTAATGGTTGTGGTATCATTTGATTCTGTTTGTAATGGTTGTGGTATCATTTAATTCTTTTTGTAATGGTTGTGGTATCATTTGACTCTGTTTGTAATGGTTGTGGTATCATTTGATTCTGTTTGTAATGGTTGTGCTATCATTTGACTCTGCATGTAATGCTTGTTGTATCATTTGATTCTGTTTGTAATGGTTGTGGTATCATTTGATTCTGTGTGTAATGGTTGTGGTATCATTTGATTCTGCTTGTAATGCCTGTGGTATCATTTAATTCTGTTTGTAATGGTTGTGATATCATTTGATTCTGCTTGTAATGCTTCTGGTATCATTTGATTCTGCTTGTAATGCTTGTGGTATCATTTGATTCTCGTTGTAATGCTAGTGGTATCATTTGATTCTGCTTGTAATGCCTGTGGTATCATTTAATTCTGTTTGTAATGGTTGTGATATCATTTAATTCTGCTTGTAATGCTTCTGGTATCATTTGATTCTGCTTGTAATGCCTGTGGTATCATTTGATTCTATTTGTAATGGTTGTGGTATCCTTTGATTCTGTTTGTAATGGTTGTGGTATAATTTGACTCTGTTTGTAATGATCAAGGTATCATTTAATTCTGCTTGTAATGGTTGTGGTATCATTTGATTCTGTTTATAATGGTTGTGGTATCATTTGATTCTGTTTGTAATGCCTGTGGTATCATTTGATTCTGTTTGTAATGGTTGTGGTATTATAAGCTTCTATTTGTAATGCCTGTGGTATCATTTGATTCTGTTTGTAATGGTTGTGGTATCATAAGCTTCTATTTGTAATGGATGTGGTATCATTTGATTCTGTGTGTAATGGTTGTGGTATCATTTGATTCTGCTTGTAATGCCTGTGGTATCATTTAATTCTGTTTGTAATGGTTGTGATATCATTTGATTCTGCTTGTAATGCTTCTGGTATCATTTGATTCTGCTTGTAATGCTTGTGGTATCATTTGATTCTCATTGTAATGCTAGTGGTATCATTTGATTCTGCTTGTAATGCCTGTGGTATCATTTAATTCTGTTTGTAATGGTTGTGATATCATTTAATTCTGCTTGTAATGCTTCTGGTATCATTTGATTCTGCTTGTAATGCCTGTGGTATCATTTGATTCTGTTTGTAATGGTTGTGGTATCCTTTGATTCTGTTTGTAATGGTTGTGGTATAATTTGACTCTGTTTGTAATGATCAAGGTATCATTTAATTCTGCTTGTAATGGTTGTGGTATCATTTGATTCTGTTTATAATGGTTGTGGTATCATTTGATTCTGTTTGTAATGCCTGTGGTATCATTTGATTCTGTTTGTAATGGTTGTGGTATTATAAGCTTCTATTTGTAATGCCTGTGGTATCATTTGATTCTGTTTGTAATGGTTGTGGTATCATAAGCTTCTATTTGTAATGGATGTGGTATCATTTAATTCTGTTTGTAATGATTGTGGTATCATAAGCTTCTTTTTGTAATGCCTGTGGAATCATTTGATTCTGTTTGTAATGGTTGTGGCATCATTTAATTCTGTTTGTAATGGTTGTGGTATCATAAGCTTCTTTTTGTAATGGTTGTGGTATCATTTGAATCTGTTTGTAATGGTTGTGGTATCATAAGCTTCTTTTTGTAATGGTTGTGGCATCATTTGATTCTGTTTGTAATGGTTGTGGTATCATAAGCTTCTATTTGTAATGCTTGTGGTATCATTTGATTCTGCTTGTAATGCTTGTGGTATCATTTGATTCTGTTTATAATGGTTGTGGTATCATAAGCTTCTTTTTGTAATGGTTGTGGCATCATTTGATTCTGTTTGTAATGGTTGTGGTATCATAAGCTTCTATTTGTAATGGTTGTGGTATCATTTAATTCTGTTTGTAATGGTTGTGGTATCATTTGATTCTGTTTGTAATGGTTGTGGTATCATAAGCTTCTATTTGTAATGGTTGTGGTATCATTTGATTCTGTTTGTAATGCTTGTGGTATCATTTGATTCTGTTTGTAATGCTTGTGGTATCATTTGATTCTGTTTGTTATGCCTGTGGTATCATTTGATTCTGCTTGTAATGCTTCTGGTATCATTTGATTCTGCTTGTTATGCTTGTGGTATTATTTGACTCTGTTTGTAATGCTTGTGGTATAATTTGACTCTGTTTGTAATGGTTGTGGTATCATTTGATTCTGCTTGTAATGCTTGTGGTATGATTTGATTCTGTTTGTAATGCTTGTGGTATAATTTGACTCTGTTTGTAATGCTTGTGGTATCATTTGATTCTGCTTGTAATGCCTGTGGAATCATTTGATTCTGTTTGTAATGCTTGTGGTATCATTTGATTCTGTTTGTAATGCTTGTGGTATCATTTGATTCTGTTTGTAATGCCTGTGGTATTATTTGACCCTGTTTGTAATGCTTGTGGTATCATTTGATTCTGCTTGTAATGCCTGTGGTATTATTTGACCCTGTTTGTAATGCTTGTGGTATCATTTAATTCTGCTTGTTATGCTTGTGGTCTCATTTGATTCTGTTTGTAATGGTTGTGGTATCATTTAATTCTGTTTGTAATGGTTGTGGTATCATTTGATTCTGTTTGTAATGCTTGTGGTATCATTTGATTCTGTTTGTAATGCTTGTGGTATCATTTGACTCTGTTTGTAATGCTTGTTGTATCATTTGATTCTGTTTGTAATGCTTGTGGTATCATTTAATTCTGTTTGTAATGGTTGTGGCATCATCTGACTCTGTTTATAATGGTTGTGGTATCATTTGATTCTGAGTGTAATGCTTGTTGTATCATTTGATTCTGCTTGTTATGCTTGTGGTATCATTTGACTCTGTTTGTAATGCTTGTGGTATCATTTGATTCTGCTTGTAATGCTTGTGGTATCATCTGACTCTGTTTGTAATGGTTGTGGTATCATTTGATTTTGAGTGTAATGCCTGTGGTATAATTTGATTCTGTTTGTAATGCTTGTGGTATCATTTGATTTTGTTTGTAATGCTTGTGGTATCATTTGATTCTTTTAAGAAATTTGTATCATTTGAAGCACAATTGGTACCTATGTCAAGTTTAGAATTAGTTTACATTGATTCTATATTTAATGCTTGTGGTCTCATTTGATTCTATTTGTAATGTTTGTGGTATCGTTTGATTGTGTTTGTAATGCTTGTGGTATCATTTGATTCTCTTTGTAATGCTAGTGGTATCATTTAATTCTGTTTGTAATGCTTGTGGTATCATTTAATTCTGTTTGTAATGCTTGTGGTATCATTTGACTCTGTTTGTAATGCTTGTTGTATCATTTGATTCTGTTTGTAATGCTTGTGGTATCATTTAATTCTGTTTGTAATGGTTGTGGTATCATCTGACTCTGTTTATAATGGTTGTGGTATCATTTGATTCTGAGTGTAATGCTTGTTGTATCATTTGATTCTGCTTGTTATGCTTGTGGTATCATTTGACTCTGTTTGTAATGCTTGTTGTATCATTTGATTCTGTTTGTAATGCTTGTGGTATCATTTAATTCTGTTTGTAATGGTTGTGGTATCATCTGACTCTGTTTATAATGGTTGTGGTATCATTTGATTCTGAGTGTAATGCTTGTTGTATCATTTGATTCTGCTTGTTATGCTTGTGGTATCATTTGACTCTGTTTATAATGGTTGTGGTATCATTTGATTCTGAGTGTAATGCTTGTGGTATCATTTGATTCTCTTTGTAATGCTAGTGGTATCATTTAATTCTGTTTGTAATGCTTGTGGTATCATTTGACTCTGTTTGTAATGCTTGTTGTATCATTTGATTCTGTTTGTAATGCTTGTGGTATCATTTAATTCTGTTTGTAATGGTTGTGGTATCATCTGACTCTGTTTATAATGGTTGTGGTATCATTTGATTCTGAGTGTAATGCTTGTTGTATCATTTGATTCTGCTTGTTATGCTTGTGGTATCATCTGACTCTGTTTGTAATGGTTGTGGTATCATTTGATTTTGAGTGTAATGCCTGTGGTATAATTTGATTCTGTTTGTAATGCTTGTTGTATCATTTGATTCTGTTTGTAATGCTTGTGGTATCATTTAATTCTGTTTGTAATGGTTGTGGCATCATCTGACTCTGTTTATAATGGTTGTGGTATCATTTGATTCTGAGTGTAATGCTTGTTGTATCATTTGATTCTGCTTGTTATGCTTGTGGTATCATTTGACTCTGTTTGTAATGCTTGTGGTATCATTTGATTCTGCTTGTAATGCTTGTGGTATCATCTGACTCTGTTTGTAATGGTTGTGGTATCATTTGATTTTGAGTGTAATGCCTGTGGTATAATTTGATTCTGTTTGTAATGCTTGTGGTATCATTTGATTCTGTTTGTAATGCTTGTGGTATCATTTGACTCTGTTTGTAATGCTTGTTGTATCATTTGATTCTGTTTGTAATGCTTGTGGTATCATTTAATTCTGTTTGTAATGGTTGTGGTATCATCTGACTCTGTTTATAATGGTTGTGGTATCATTTGATTCTGAGTGTAATGCTTGTTGTATCATTTGATTCTGCTTGTTATGCTTGTGGTATCATTTGACTCTGTTTGTAATGCTTGTGGAATCATTTGATTCTGTTTGTAATGCCTGTGGTATCCTTTAATTCTGTTTGTAATGCTTGTGGTATCATTTGATTCTGTTTGTAATGCCTTTGGAATCATTTGATTGTGTTTGTAATGCTTGTGGTATCATTTGATTCTGTTTGTAATGGTTGTGGTATCATTTGATTCTTTTAAGAAAGTGGTATCATTTGAAGTACAGCTGATATCATTTGAAGCACAGTTGGTACCTATGTCAACAAAGGGTCAAGTTTAGAATCAGTTAACATTGATTCTATTTTTAATGCTTGTGGTATCATTTAATTCTGTTTGTAATGGTTGTGGTATCATTTGATTCTGCTTGTAATGCTTGTAGTATCATTTGATTCTGTCTAAAAAGTGGTATCATTTGAAGTACAGCAGGTATCGTTTGGTCCGACAATCAATCTATCGGAAAGACCAACGTCGATCCGACAATCAATCTATCGAAATATCAACGTCGGTCCGGAAATCACTCTATCGAATTTACAAAATCAAAACTGCAAACAAAATATTCTAAATTCTTTTGATTTGAATTAGCATTTAATATATACATGTAGATGAAGAGCTAATAACAAATAGGTTTATATTTCCATTTAGCAAAGTATAATAGATGGTAAGCCACAAAAGGTTCATGATGTTAAAAGAATAATGGACACCTGGACGTTGCAAATGAACTACCCAACAGTTTTCATGGAAAGAATGGGAAATGACATAAAACTGAGTCAATCAAGATATCTTCGGGATAAAAATGCTACTGATCCTGGAACATATAACTCATCTTTCGGGTAAGTTTCATTTATTTAGTAATGAAAAATTAGAAGATGTGGTATGGCTGTCAATTAGACATTTAACAATCAAAGACTTAATGACGTAGATGGTAGCAACTATAGGTCAACGTATGCCATTCAACAAAGAGAAAAACCCATATCGTATAATAAGATAAAAGGGTTCCAACATCTAACTTAAAGTTAATTCAAACACGGAAACCAACCGTCATTTTGTGTACAAAACAATAAACAAGAAATAAAAACAAAATACAATACAATACATAACAACTAGCCGAGAGGTAGAAGATACCAAAGGCACGCTCAAAATCATGAGTGGAAGACAATTTTTTCAACGCCATGTCAAATAACGAAAACTGACGAAAAGAAAAAGTAATGACTGAGCAAAACGAACACCAACAAGAGCGGGATTAGTCGCAGGTGTTCCAGAGGGGAAAGTTGATACTGCGCCACGTGTTTTACCCGTTTTGATGCTCATGTAAGTACAAACTCGATAAAGTCACATTCGAGGAAAAGAGAACGGGACTTATTTAGTGTTTAATCTGATAAACATTTATATGTCTATGAACGTTAGTATTTCTTATCAATAAGCTACAACATTTTCTTGCAACGGACATATAGATATGCGGATGACAACCATTCGACAGAGGAACGTCCTTGTACATTCTAAGGTTGGATGAATACGCAGTAAAATACTGTTTTTTTATCAATCCCGATTGCAAGTATTTTTGTCTACACGAGCTGCAACTTCTCCGAAGGATGAAGGTGGTCAACTGTAACCCTATATTTTTTTTATATATTTCCTTGTTTTCAAATGGCAATAAAAATGGTTTTACAGTTAATCTTGTCATCCATAATGCGGGTACCTTTCCAAATCGGTTTCATCTAGATTAATTTTCTATGTTTTTGAATTATATTTCTGTTAACTTGTAATGTAACAGTTGAGTTAAGACTCAATTGATATTGACTCCACTTTTCCTTCTACTAATTCCTGCTTTATGTCAACCACAATAATTTTAAAATATATCGGTATAATACTTTTCCAGATATAAATGGGAAATACCTTTCACATTTACAACCCAAACTAATAAAGATTTTAACCAGAACGATGCTGACATAATCTGGATGGGAAAAGAAGGAACAGACAGTAAGTATAACAGATGTATTTGCATATTACGTCAGAAACGAAATTCAAAATCATATATCAATAGTCTAAGTTATTCTTGTCATAAATACCATAGATGGTGTCTTTTCATGTAATGTGGATTCAACAAATCCTCTAAGATCAAAGCACATAAAATGACAAATATTTAATTGGCTTTTGTATTTCTGTGTTCAATGAACAGATTTACCTAAGACAATGATAAGTAGTCTATCACAAATTGCATTTGAAAATCTGTAAAGACGAATAGTTTTTTTATTTATAGAAAGAATTATTCGACCGTGTGATGACCTCTGGATTTGTCTCTATAATATTACATATCTGTCATTGACACTTTCTAAAAATACATCCGGGGCATCGGTGGCCGAGTGTTCTAAGTAGTCGAACTATTGTATCACTAGCTTATCAACATTGAAGTTGTGAGTTCGAATCCCGCACGTGGCAGGTGCAGTCGACTCCAACCGTAATTGACTAGGATCGTCAGTTCTCCTAACGAAGGTCGGTAGTTCTCTCTAAATACTCCTACTTCTTCCACAAATAAAAACTGACCGCCACAAAATAGCACAATAGCACAAAAGTGTGGAAAGTGGCGATAAACACCAATCAATCAATCAATCAATCAATAACAATATTTCCTTTATTTATGTTGATCATTGTCATTTTGCTTAGTTACTTCTGTTACCTTTTCTAACAGCGGACTCGGACTTCTTTTAAACTGAGTTTTATGGTGCATATTGCTGTGTGTTTGTCTATTACAGATTTGCTAGAATTATAGGGGGAGGATTGAGATCTCACAAAAAATGTTTAACCCCGCCGGATTTTTGTGCCTGTCCCAAGTCAGGAACCTCTGGCCATTGTTAGTCTTGTATGTTTTTTTCAACTTTTGGTTCATGTCTCGGAGTCAAGTGTGACGTCCATTTTCGCTGAACTAGTATACATTAATGTTAGGGGCCAGCTGAAGACCGCTTCCGAGTGCGGGATTTTCTCACTGTGTTGAAGACCCACTGGTGGCCTTGGGCTGTTTTCTGCTCTTTGATCGAGTTGTTGTCTCTTTGACACATTCCCCATTTCCATTCTAAATTTTACAATATCAAACATCATCTAATTTGATTTTCCAATAATGGTATACCGTATGTGATCCAATAATGGTATACTATGTGATTCCTAGATGTCTTTGTTAACTGTGTTTTCCAATTATGGGATATCGTGTGTGATCCGTTATGTCTATGTTAACTGTGTTTTCCAATAATTGTATACCGTGTGTGATCCGTAGATGTCTATATTTACTGTGTTTTCCAATAATGGTATACCGTGTGTGATCCGTAGATGTCTATGTTAACTGTGTTTTGCAATAATGGTATACCGTATGTGATCCAATAATGGTATACCGTATGTGATCCAATAAGGGTATACCGTATGTGATCCAATAATGGTATACCGTATGTGATCCCTAGATATATGATATTTTGATGTACTTGTTAGCTGTGTTGTCAATGTGTTAGCTCCATATTTATGTTTGAAAGTTAACGATAAATATAGATTCCACCACAACATCAGGTGTGTTACGATATTTCTCAACTGGAGACAGTTAAATTTTAATGTTTAAAGCGTGAGGTTTGCCGAGTTTTTGAAATAATTAAAATTTAACTGTTAAGAGTGGAGAAATATCGTTATACAAGAGTTATAGTGCTGGAATCTGTTTCTCTAATGATTTTCAGACGATATCTAAACAAAGTTTATCCTGCCTTTTCAAAGATTTGCAGACAGTTTATTGTTTTTATGTATCGTCATCAGGCATGGTCGCCATTTTTCATGACGTCACAATAGGAAATTCAGAAGAAACCAAGAAAATTTTACGTCATAATTAAATTTCGACCAATCATTTGCCGAGAACAAAATTTTCTCTAGAGATGAGAAATATTTTACTCACACCGATCGAGAAATGTAAAAAAAAATCATGAAAATTAGAGAAAGTCCTTTCTTTTGTAAATTTGAGGTAGATAAAAATCGTGTTTATCGATTGATCAAATAATTTTACTTTCAGTTTTACTATCAGGAAACATAAGTGGTAATGACTGGTTTATAGGTAATATAAAACAGTATGGATTCTATAGAGTAAATTACCCAAAAGACAATTGGGAAAAACTTATAGATCAACTAAAGATGGATCATACGGTAATTATCTGTCTTTTGTTTAACCTTTTTTAAACAATATTGTAGTTCACAAGGTATACTAATATTTTTTTGGCGTGGCTCGGTATTTATTCACCCCGCCATTGTGTTACTGTGCTATGGTCATTTTTTGTATTCTTGACTTTCATTTTTGCTTAATATGTGCTTTGTCTATATAGTGTCTACATGCCATTTTGTTTTTCTTTGTTGGCATAGTTGTTTGTTTTTGTAGTGATAAAGATTACAACACAATGTTTACTGCTGGAACCCAATTTTTACTTTTTTACTTATTATGTCTGTTTGTTTTGCTCACACATTGTTGTCAGTATAATGGAATTTTATGCGACTGTCATACAAGTGAGAGATTAAGCTAGCTATAAAACCAGGTTTAATCCACCATTTCCTACATAAGGAAATGCATGTATCAAGCTCATGAAGTTAGGAATATGACAGTTGTTTTCCGTTCGTTTGATGAGTTTGAACTTTTGATATTGCCATTTGTTAAGGGACTTTCAATTTTGAATTTTCCTTGGAGTTCTGTATTTTTTATAATTTTACTTCTTAATACCTTTCCTTCTCTTTAAAGAAAAGAGAGAGAATATACCAAAGGGCTAATAAAAATATGCAGTCAATAATGGCTAACACGAAAACAACGAAAACCCATCTTGGTTAATTGCTGATATAAATTTGACAATATTCTAAATCAAAGTCAACCAGTGGGGTCTTAAAAACAATGAATGCATGGCTTTAAATATAGTTCATTAAACTCGTCATAGATACAAGGATTAGAATTGTGTATGCAAGACGCGCGTTTCGTCTACAAACGACTTATCAGTTAATTGATAAGATATTCCCGGGCTTGTATTTCCTATCATGATTTCCTTGATAGAAGATTGCTGCTCACAAGGAAGCTATTTAACCAAGAGTTCCAAATGGTGAAGTTGAAATCAGCCCTTCATAAATTTTACGGACGCCATCACGAGTTGTTTGACCGTTATGGAATAACCGTTTCACAGATGATATCGGATATGTTCCTTATGCCGTAATTACAATCCACTTCCTTTTTCACCACGAATATGACCTACCGAATTAGACGATTTACCGGATTTGTAATAACATGAGCAACACGACGGGTGCCACATGTGGAGCAGGATCTGCTTACCCTTCCGGAACACCTGAGATCACCCCCAGTTTTTTGTGGGGTTTGTGTTGCTTAGTCTTTAGTTTTCTATGTTGTATCTTGTGTACTATTATTTGTCTGTTTGTCTTTTTATTTTTGGCCATGGCGTTGTCAGTTTATTTTCGATCTATAAGTTTGACTGTCCCTCTGGTGTCTTTCGCCCCTCTTTTTTTACCCTTGAATAATAAAAGTTAAAAAGGTAAAATAAAATAAGAAATTGAAAGTGAGGATTAAAATATCTATTAAAATGAAAATAAATAAACGTATTCACATTTTGCTCGTCCAATGATTTCTGTATAATTAATTTGAAAACAAGTCTAAAAAGCTACCAATTTGGTAAGATTCACGTTTATAAAAGCGCTTCGGACGCATGATACTATTTAACGTATTGCTTTCAATTTTTTATATACTACAACACATTAATAAATTGTTCATCATTAATTTTTCATAGACTCATTACACCCCGTGCTTCATGTTATAACGCATCTTGTCCTCTGAACACTTGAAAATACATTTGGTTGATCATTATTTGGCTATGTTCGCGCTATATAAAAACAAACCTGTTATTGAGGTAATGAACATGAATCAGAACACACAAAGGGGAGACATTGTGATTGCCAAATAAAATATAGAGTTGTTAATGTATGAAAATTGGCACACGCAATCGCCTCAATTGAATTCCTCATCGAACAAGTTCAATAAAGTGTGTTCGTTAAATGAGCGTGGCACACTCGAAACCAAATGGATTCATTTGCTTCCCTTCGAAAGAATGGTTTGTGTATTTGATACTTAATAAACTTCCTTCGAAGTCCCTCATGAGAACGAGTGATTAAACCTTTACGTCGGAGATACCCGGTCAACATTATATATCTAAAACTATTATTTTCATTGTTTATTGTTAAATTGATATTATTACTAAAATGTATTTGATACAACAGCAGACTTATTAAGTTGAATCGTTCATTGTTGAAGACCCTACATCAGCTGTCAAGATGAAGAACAGGAATAAAAGCCCTGTTCATTGATATTTTTTTATTTTTTCTATGTATTGTGTCCGATTTTGTCCCATGTACATTTACTCCATATCCTTTCATTTTCTATTTTTTTATCCTATTCCAATTTTGTATACTTTTGATTACAAAGTATAATTTGTGCTTTCTTTAAAAACTCATATAACTATTCTGAAAAAAAAATGAAGTAAATAAGGAAAATGGTAAAACTCGGAAATATAATACTAGTAATACTAAAGGTTTCATTGGAACAAATTGAAAACTTTTAAAATAGAAGTTTCTCCGCAACAATCCTTGCATGACGGCTCATACGAATAGTACCACACAGAATCATCTGCAGGACTGACGAATTTGCAATTGCTATTTCATGATACGAGTCATAATAGCGGATTGTAATACCAAAACCTAAAAATCATCAATGTGCCTATTTTATTTGGAAAGGACCGGTAACACATGTCTTTCTTGAAAAACTCATATTTCTTTCTATTATAGATGATTCATCCTGTAAATAGGGCTCAGATAATTAATGATGCATGGAACTTAGCAAAGTAAGTAAACAATAAACCACTTACCTGTATCGTAAACACATACTTCAATATTCATATAACAAATCATTAAAGATATCAGGCATTTAATTAAGTATGCCAGACTCAAGATTCAGATTTACAAGATTCATCATTATCGCTTGAAAGAAATCGGTTGGAAGACAAAACAATTGAGGACTGGGGGGTAGATAAATCTTTAAGGTTTCGAATGATACTTTTAGTTTGATGAACTGTAAATTTACACAATTACCTGTATCAATGATATTTCCTGAGGATTGCTGACTGCTGGGCTAATGATATCCTTCGGGACAAAACGTCAACTAGCAGTTGGATCATTACATGAAACTGGAAAAATAAATAACAACAATAGTTGGTAGATGTTCACTACTCTCGTCACGTGATGTATCACTCTGATGTTCACTACTCTCGTCACGTGATGTATCACTATGTAACTACAACAGTATTTTCCTCTTTAGATCTGGTGACCTTAGCATGAATACAGCCCTGAAAACAGTTGAATATTTGTCAAGAGAAGACAGCTATTTTCCTTTTTTTGCTGCCAATAATGAACTTGTATATGTCGGAAACATGCTAGAAAGAACTGAGCTATATGGTGATTTTTCGGTAAGACTTTCTATTCTTTTATTGGTGCTGTTTGTTTAAAGAAAAATTATTTATCTTACAATAAAACAGATAGTTCGTTATTCATTTGTTTTTTAGTTGTAGGTTGTAAATTCTTTGAACCTTAGTTCTTGTATTTTCGTCTGTTTCTGATTTTTATAACTTTTCGTGTTTGTCCTTGACAATTTTCTTGTTCTGCTTTTTTCACCTACCATTAATTTTTTTGTATGTGGCGGGCATGGGTTTTTTCTTGGGACAAACACATTTTTGTTAATCAAAACATATTTTTTCAATAATATAGATTTACAGAACATTTTTTTTTTATACTCAAAAGTGTATTTATTTTCCCCCAAATTTTAAAGAGAAACTAGCTATTTTGTTCAAGAAATTAAGAATAATGATGAAAAACCATTCCCTAAAACATAAAACAAATATGAATGTTCGGTACCTTAACCATATTGTCTATAACAACATAAGTTATACTCAATCTATCATGTCGGTGGCCAAGTCTACGTAGTTCATCTACAGGGATCATTTACCTGTCAATAGTTAATCCTGATCGTGGCTAGGTGCGGTCCACTGCAACTAGAGGTATCTATCATGTCGGTGGCCGAGTCTACGTAGTTCATCTATAGGGATCATTGACCTGTCAATAGTTCTAATCCCGCTCGTGAATAGATGCGGTCCACTGCAATTTAATTGACAAGGCATGCCAGTCTACCTGCCGAAGGTCGGTGTTTTCTTCTTCTTTCAGTACTATGGATTTCTCCTACAAAAACAAATTGGTCGCCATGATAGAGCAAATATGTCTGAAATTGGCGACACATCAAAATGTTTTTTTTTAAATAAATTTTATATTTGGCATTTGTATCATTTTCGTTTCATATAGGTCAACAGATATAAAACTATGCTACAATGGGAAATTAACAAAACAAAAATCATCACTTTTAAGCGAAATCTAATTTTTATTATCATTCATGTATATCAAGCTCTAATTAATTATCTTGATATTAAGTAACTTTAAATAGTTTTGCAACGTTTTTGAATTTTCTATTCAAGCAATTATATGCATTCTTCGTATTCATACAATTTTAAATTACTGTGTGAAATATGATTATTAATGTCTCTGAAAATTTTCTATATATGGATCAAATTTGACCTTTTTTTTAGTAACTGTTTCCTTTATTAAGGGTCTACTTTTTAAATGCTTAAATGCTTTTGAATTTGTAGTTACAACTCATGGTTATATTTAATACACGAGAAACATTTTAACGATAAGTCTAAAAATGTTATATGAATACATATACAAGGAAATACATTTTATATTACATTTATACAGCTTTAACATAATCAACAATTACTGAAAATTTCAGGTACAGAAAGGATCAAAGCAGTTTACAAAAATAATGTTAATGTTGAGGCTAACTTTCATGACTTTCGCGACGACACCCATTATTTCATTTTTTTGCAACACAACATGTTTCAAAATAGTTAATTAGCATTTTTATGAAGATCTGTTTTTAAGAAGGAGAAGTCAGTCGCATTGTCCTGTTGAATTTGGCACATTCACACACGTATCATATAAAACAGTGTTTCAAACAAAGGGAGAAGATAGAAATAAAAACCAGTTGTCGAAGAAATCAGACAATACAAACATCAGTTCACATAACTCTACATAAAACCTTGAAAGTGATAAAACACAAACCTCCTAAACAATCTGAAACTGGTGCTCTGAAACGTAAGCGGTTCCTGTTATAACAGCTGTTACCGTCGTTTTGCTAAGATTGCATGACAATACGTGGTATTCAGTGATGTCACAGTGGAGGAAAAGGTAAGGGAATGTGTCTATTGTAACTGGAACATATTCGTAGTCATTCGAGACAATTTCAGAATTTAAAAAAAATACTTAGTCGCCATTCGCAACAATTTCAGAATTAAGAAAAAAACAAAAATAAAAATGATTGAAAAATTTTCCCAAGAAAAAGTAAAATAACAAAAATACCGAACTCCAGTGGAAACCCTAAACGGAAATCCTCTTGTACCATCGAAGATTCATAATGCCTTTGCAACATTTTAGGCGACCTTGTCGAAAAATTGACGGACGCAATAATCTTTAAACTATAATTCCCGCAGGCAAAGTTTACCTACGATGAATTGGCTACGCTTAATACATCTTTTGGTCATAAAGCTCCTTGTGTTTATACTTTTTATATCTCCATGGATTTCATATTGTTACGCTTGAGCATGCTACGCTTAATACATTTTTTGGTCATAAATCTCCTTATGTTTATACTTTCTATATCTCCATGGACTTCATATTGTTACGCTAGAGCATGCTACGCTTAATACATCTTTTGGTCATACAGCTCCATATGTTTATACTTTCTATATCTCCATGGATTTCATATTGTTACGCTTGATCATGCTTCATGCTTGTAAATCCAGAAGAGCGCTTCGGAGGCACAAAACCTACAAAATGTTAATTCCTTATTGAATATGTTGCCTAATGATTATTGCAGAATTGTTCCATCATCCTTTCTTTGTTTATGTTATCAAATGCATGTTATTATCAGATGGTTACTTAACATAAAAAGGGACACTAATGTTTAACTATTGAAAAAAAAAGTAAAATAGCAAAAATACCGAACTCCAGGGAAAATTCAAAACGGGAAAGTCCTTTTTCAAATGGCAAAATCAAAAGCTTAAACACATAAAACGAATGGAAAACAACTGTCATATTCCTGACTTGGTGCATTGCTTTATTTTATTTCTTGATTAATTGTTTATCTTTTAACTGACAAACATTTTCTCTTGTCACTATGAATAAATGAAATATTTGCATTTCTTGTAACATGTGTCTAATATCTGTTTTGCTTTTTTCTGCAGGCATTCATGAAGAAAGCATTTTCAATACCACTGAATGAGCTTGGTTACAACAATACTGGATCTGGACATTTAGAAATGTAAGAAACAACTTTATCATCTCGTAATTCAAAAACTCCTTATCCTTCCGTTGCACCTGAGATCACCCCCAGTTTTTGGTGGGGTTCATGTTGCTCAGTCTTTAGTTTTGTATATTCTGTTTTGTGTATGTTTCTTTCTAGCCATGGTGTTGTCAGTTTATTTTCTAGCCATGGTGTTGTCAGTTTATTTTCTAGCCATGGTGTTGTCAGTTTATTTTCTAGCCATGGCGTTGTCAGTTTATTTTCTAGCCATGGTGTTGTCAGTTTATTTTCTAGCCATGGTGTTGTCAGTTTATTTTCTAGCCATGGTGTTGTCAGTTTATTTTCTAGCCATGGTGTTGTCAGTTTATTTTCTAGCCATGGTGTTGTCAGTTTATTTTCTAGCCATGGTGTTGTCAGTTTATTTTCTAGCCATGGCGTTGTCAGTTTATTTTCTAGCCATGGCGTTGTCAGTTTATTTTCTAGCCATGATGTTGTCAGTTTATTTTCTAGCCATGGTGTTGTCAGTTTATTTTCTAGCCATGGTGTTGTCAGTTTATTTTCTAGCCATGGTGTTGTCAGTTTATTTTCTAGCCATGGTGTTGTCAGTTTATTTTCTAGCCATGGTGTTGTCAGTTTATTTTCTATTTATGAGTTTGAATGTCCCTTTAGTATCTTTCGCATCATATTAATAAAAGTGATTGGTCATGTAAATATTACATCGAATCTTTTTTACGAAATTTTAACTTGACTAACGGTAAATACCGACCGTGGTGATGAAGCGAGTTTGATATGATGTACATTTGTTGATTGAGAATTGACGACTTACGTCACTTCAGCGAAAAAAGACTATACCGGTAAGAGAGACGCTTAAGTATATATTTCTGCACTTCAGAATGGACAACATATCATTCCATGTATCTATTGCTTAAGACAATAATATGTAAACATAGATTGGACTCAATACTCAAATTGAATAGTAACACATTTAAGCAAGATATTTTAATCTTTCAACAAATTCTAGAATTAAGTTACATATTTATTTATATTGATAAATATCCAGATTTTCAATGATATTATATTGTGAATTGGGGTATTGACTAATACATTATATAAATTGTTAACGCTAACTTATTTCTTTCAGATAGGATAAACATTTAACTCACATTGCAAGTGGCTTCTTATAATCATTTTTGATACATTTGGAAGGCAGAAGTTTCCTTTCATAACTATAATGATCCCTTTTCACTGAACACATTAACAGGATATTTAATGGTAAAAAGAAATTCTTAAACTGAATATTGTTATTTTAGTTATAATTTAATCAGAAGATAATGTTAATATACTGTAGATTGTTAAGAAGATTAGTTGTAGAAGGGGCATGCGATTATGGAAATGAAGATTGTATAAATAATGCCATCAATTCGTTCCAAAATCTGATGCAGGGTACTGGTCCCATCAATCCGTAAGTTTAAAAATAGAACTCATTACAAGGTCAGCACATCAAACGAATATCATTCCTTGCAAACAATGAGTGCAAGTGTTACAAGAAAAGTCCAAAATGTATTTGAATATATGAAGATGTGGTATGATTGCCAATCAGACAGCTCTCCACAAGAGACCAAGTGACTTAAACTTAACAGCTATAGGTCATTGTACGGCCTTCAACAATAAACAAACACAATAAATAAATACCACATTGCAAGCTATAAAAGGCCACGAAATGACAAATGTAAAACAAATTCATTCAAAAAACTAACAATCGGGATAGAATACAAACAAAAACGAAAAAACAAATTTGATATATACTAGCAACAAACATCATACTTGATTACAGGATCCTGACTTTGGACAGGCATATACAGAATGTGCCTGGGTTAAACATGTTAGCGGTGCCCAACATAACAATACAAGAACAAACTGTACAAAACAATAGACGAAAAATAAATATGTTATAACTTATACATGTTTTCTATCATAAAAAGTTTATTTTGATATCTAAGGAATAAGAGTACTTGTTTTGAAGAATGTTCATTGAAAAATCATCAAATGACCGTACCAATTCTGCATATACAGTAGTGGTATTTCTCATCTAATGCAATACTTGTGAAAATGTTCAAAATAAAACATTTAAATATCCTTAAAATACCCTGTGCAATATCACAGTAGTGTTGTAAATGACACCAATGTTTAACCGTGTAATTGACGGCAGACGTTGTCTCATGAAAATGTGTGCACCATATCATGATTCTTGAGAACATTGGTTGTTACGAGTTGCAATGATTCAATTTATTATATTTCCCACCATGTTTTAAAAGTACAGATCTTATTAGTTTATTCCAAATTACAAATAAAAAAAGACCGGTTAAAATGTTTAATCGTCTTACCAAATGTGAATATATCATTTAAACGTGGTAACAAAAATAGTTCATGAATGATATTTCAAAATTGTATCAATTGATCCAGAACAGCAATTTTAACATTAGTGATAAAAGAATATATGGTAAACTTTAACAGAATTTATACTGAAGGCCTGACGCTGTGTAAATCAAATATTTTGGCAAGCAATCAGTTTCTATTTAATCGAAATACATTATAATTTGATATATCACGTCAGTTCCTCTTTTTACTGCTATTATTTTGGATATTATGTCGTATCAATGTGTACAAAACATTCAAACTGTTTGCAGTAAAAAGTAAAATAACAAAAGTACCGAACTCTAAGGAAAATTCAAAAGGAAACGGAAAGTCCCTTAACAAATGGCAAAATCAAAAGCTCAAACACCTCAAACGAATGGAAAACAACTGTCGTATTCCTGACTTGGTACAGGCATTTCCTTATGTAAAATATTGTGAATTTAACCTGGTTTATAGCTAGCTCAACCTCTCAGTTGTATGACAGTCGCATATTATGGACAGATATTTTAACTGAGTCAATATTTACCAGAGGCAATGATTAATCAATGAAAAGTGTATTATACATATGTTCATATTCAATATTCAAGCTCAATCTAGAATTGTTCTTCCAATTAGTCCTACCCGTCGCATTATGATGATCATGATGATTAGGTGTATAACGTCTAGTGGTAAATTTACATGCATACAAGGAAGAGAATATGTTAATTCGGTATAACTATGAACCCTCCTTTGTACTCGGCCGATTCGCTGAGTCGAATTTTATCGTGCTAGTTCAAAAGTTAACATGTTGCCAACCATGACACACAATTCTGACTAGTGCCAAGCATTGTTGCAAGTTGCTGTCTATTATATGGTAAGGTTACTAATTGTTGAATTCTTGAACTAGAAACGTAATGTATCTCTGTCAGTGCCTAATCATCTTTGTTCTAAAGAGTAGGCGACGCCAGTGTACACAACAGAAAAGGTAAGTGTGTAGTGCTCCTGTGCTTGCAAATACCGGTGATATTCAGTATGAAAATTTTACATAAAAAATATTGAGATGTGGAATGATTGTCAATGAGAAAACTATTCACCAGAATTCAAATGACGTGGATATTAGAAACTATAGACACCGTGCGGCAATGAGTAAAACACATAATGTTTGTTCAGCTTTAAAAGTCTACGACATTACAAAATGTCAACCAATTCAAACGAGAATTCAAAATGTCAACCAATTCAATCAAGAATTCAAATGGCCTTATCTGTGCTTAAACAATAAACAAAAAATAAATGTGACATAAGCAACCAACGACACCACAAAATTACAGGCTCATGTCAGGTACATGTAGGATGCAGTGAAGTTAAACTTTTATGTGAGCGCTCAATCCTCCACCTATCTGGGACAGTGGTGTTTTAACACAAGAACACATTCCACAAAGCATTTGTCTTGAATCATCGTACACAATGTATTAATAGAATAGTGTTTTTTTTCAGAATTGATGTTGATTCGAGACAAAACGTGTACGATACAGCAATAAAATATGGAGGTGTGAAGGAGTGGGACTTTGTTTATAACAGATACAAAACATCTAATGTTGCATCGGAAAAGCTGACATCGTTAGTTGCCTTGTCTCATAGCAGAGAAGTCTGGATTTTAAGCAGGTTTGTAATAAATGATCTTTTGTTTAACAGTATAGTCGCGAAAATCCCCGATGTTATTCAAGATGGTATGTACATCAAAACCAAAATAAGAAGAACATTTTTCTGACGTTATTCAAAGTGCTATTTGATAAAGTGAAAGACGTATGGGGCCTTTATGCCACTTCTTGACAAAATAAAAATCGAAGGTTGTTTTAAATTATTTCCTTGAATGTGACCTACCGAATTAGACCATCGGGTATGTACTTGCATGTCAAAATATGATAAGACGATATATAAAGGAATAGGAATACTTGATCATTTTTGATTCTGATTGCTATATAAGTTTTCTACAACTAACAAAGCTACCCCGTCACTCTACAGTATAATGGTAACAATAACCTCCACGACAGTTCCTTGCTTTACGCAGAATTAAGTTGAATACTTGACGACAAAAAGGTTGATTACTATTTGAAATATTATGCTTGTTGGTTACTATACGACAACTAAAATAAAAGTCAAATAATAAAAACTTGCGGATGTTATTATAATGGGTGTAAAACATATAGATATGATCCAGTCAAGTCTCAGTCCTTACAATTGAACAGATCTAGATTATCAGCCTCCTATTAGATGTCTTCTGGTTATCTAAACATGTGATCACGTGCTTGCATGTGATTACAACATTCAAGACCGCACAGTAACATCCTAGTTGTTGTTTTGCGCTGGTCGCATGTGCATGCACTCTTTAACTAAGAAATCGGAGGGCTCTGTATCCAGGTTGTTAAACAAATGGTTATTCCCGGCTTCCATTAGTTACCTTCGATTTATCATCGATTCTTTCTAGTGGAGTACATCAACATGGTCACTAAACGTAAAGGACATCGACAAAGGAACACAAAAAATAGCCTAAAGACCGCTATCTGTCTGTGTAAAACCTTATTTAGATAGTAAAGGACGTTAATAAACAGTATTAGGAAAAGGAGAATTACCAAATGTGTAATAACTAAACCGTATTAGGTCGATAGAAAACAGACATACCACTGCAAAAAAATAACGACAAAAATACAAGTAAGTCCACACAAAGATTGAGCGACACGAACCCAGCAAATAGGAGAGGGGGAAACTCCGATGCTGCAGAAGCAGTTTTTGATCCACTTGGAGGATATACCTAGTCGGAGATCAACGTATTCTGACTTCAGTTTTTGTTGATATGAACATGATATGGATTTGACAATATTTTAACCATGAAAATACACAGAACAATAATAAAACTGTTCTTCCTTTATAGGTTCCTACAATATACCTTAACAGACGACATTCGAAGACAGGATGGTTTCAATGCCTTTCGTCTTATTGCAAGAAATCCAATTGGTAGATCTCTAGTGTGGGATTTCTTAAGAGGAAATTGGAATGATATATCAAATCGGTAAGTAAAAATATTCAGTTACCTAGTGTTTGACCTTTGTGACGTCATATACATTGTCCTCGTCTCAAGTGCAGATAGGCTTGTGTGTGATCTCGGTATTGCCACTTTTTCAATAAAATATGTATTTAAAAAAAAATGACTGAGAAATTGCAAATTGATACATTGTCATTATTATTTTGGCTATAGAATTCTCTTTGGGCCTTGATGGTCGAGTGGTTCAAGTAGTTTATCTACCGTATAATGTTATAAGCATATCAACACTTAGTTTGTGAGTTCGAACCCCGCACGTGGCAGTTAGTTCGACATCAATCTTAATTGACTAGGACTCCCAGTTTTCCTGCCGAAGGTCGGTGGTTCTCTCCGGGGAACATGGCTTCCTCCAATTATGAAAATTGACCGCCATGATAAATCCAATAGTGCTAAGAGTGACGTTAAACACCAAAAATCAATCAATTAATCTTGTCATGTTGGACCTTGGATTTCTTCACACTGAAAATGTTGGCCATCGCATTTCTCATTCAATATAAACAATTTTTTTTCTAAGCACGGCATTCCAAATTAAAAATAACATTGATTTCTTACTTCACACATAATTGTACTTTTTAAAGTGTTCTGGTTGTCTTTCAGGCAGGTAAAGTCGTCAGTAAATAGAGAAACAAATTTCCGTTGTCTTCATCCCATATGATTTCACCTTTTTTTTGTAGCGTGTACTTTAAAGTAACCTCTAAAATTTTGACTTGAAGTCCTGATTATTTGGTTGGCTGTTACTAGACATCTGGGCAACAGATTACCGGTACCAGTTCAAAATCTCTTAGCTACAACCCCAATCTCGTCCTTTGTTTCCTTGATTAAAGCATTCCGAATGTATACTTGCAATGGAAAATATGTCATTATTAGAGTAGGAACTGCTTGCTCTTGCGGAGTGTAATTCCGGTTTGTGGTGGGGTTTGTGTTAGTACTGTTTTTTTTTGTAGTAATTTGTTGTTTTTTTCCCTCATTTTTTTTTGCCATGCTGTTCTTTTTTAATTTGACTTATGTTTTTTTTATCCCTCTGCTGATCATTATCTTTAATGTCATTATATCAAAACAACAACGTTTCGAGCGGGAAAAGTTTATATTGAATAAAAACTTCAGGAATTGTTTAAATTTTTTTTTATTAATCACCCTAAGGGCAACAAATCGAGAGAAAGATTTAAAATGTCTCAGATGTTTCAATTCTGCAATAATTTCATTTAACATTGTCAGCGGGAGAACGTTTATTTGAAACTATGAAAATGTTGTTTCATTACTGTTGGGCGCTAAACAGATAATTGTGTCGAATGGAGATAAAAGTTGGTCGGTAATCATCAGATACGTTCATCCGACTTGTCCAGGATCCTAGGGATTTGTCGCTTGACAGATACATGTGTTGTCCGAGTATATAAACATGGTGGCTTGGTCAGAGTGCATTGAGTTTGCGCTTGCAGTACATAATATTTTTTTTAACTAAACAATGGCATCTGGATTTCCATAAATGTAAATGTTAGCAGCTGAGAGGTGCAATTTTGTTATTTTCAAAATGTCATTTGTTTCCTTTCAGTTTTGGATCAGCTTCATTTCTCTTAGGAGGGGTTACAGCCAAGTTTAATACTGAATTTGATCTACAGTCGGTAAGATGATATAGGGGGAAAAATGTGCATTAATACATATAAATTGTACATATCTTTTTTTGTCTCGGCCGCTTGTAGTGGAACATTATATTTCATCATAGTGATACTTGCGATATGATATTTCTTACACGCAGGATGCAAAATAAGCTTAGTTTTAAGTTGAGGCTCAGGTTTTCAAAAACTGCTTTCGTTTTAGATTTAATGCTCTTCAAAGTTAATATTTTCAGTAACACTAGCAAAAAATAAATCAGCATATTTTGGTCTAAAAATGGAAAAAATATCCATTCACATTATGACAAAAAAATTGAAGCGTAGAAAACAAACAGGTTATCCTGTGAAACATCTTTAAAGCAAAATTAAGACCGGGAAGTATTGGATCTGCTTAAATCTCCCAAGTCTATAGCCATACTTTAACTCAGCTAGTTTTATCAAAAGGGTAGAAAAAACATTGGTCCTTCAATTTTCTATTTTTATTTAATAATATGTTAAAAATCAAAGATCAAAGAATTTAAATATCGAACAAGACATACATGCAACCGCAAATTAATGTATTGTTCATTCTTTCGACATGGTAAAATACAGATTATATCCAAATATGAAATATGGTTTATAATTTGTGTGGTTGTTATTTCATGACAACTAATTCCGTAATTACTTGCCATCTAGGGAATTCGGTGATAATAGCAGATCTTGGACTCTGTAAAAGGATGAGATTCACTTTTGTCAAAATGTGGCATTGAATACTAGTATTAACTTTATCATAGAATACAAAAAGGCAACATTTTTGTTCTTAAATGGATCTATTTCAAACACATTTAGTTAGTGCTAAATGAAAAAGTCGTTTCATAACAGTACATTCTCTAAAGTCAGCATATTTTAGAAATGTTTGTCAAAACACGATTATTTGGTGCATTTTTCGGAGAACTCGTTGACTTCAACCTACGATCCAAAATGATCTGAAAAGTAAATATTGATTATCTGCACACAGCTATTTTCAGATTCAGAGGATGCATCCAAAGTGAAGTGTGCTAATAAAAATATAGATAAGGAAGCATTTTACTCAAACAGACTTAACATCACAAATATTGCATGATTAAAGGTTGATAACTTATTTATAATGTGTCAAAAATACTTATTTTGTATTTATAGTAATTTCACAACCACATAAATTTATATGTAAAATGTGACATACTTCCGGGAGATTTAAAACAAAAACATAAAATTTTAAGGTAAATTTTTAAACTTTTGTGAATTTTCTCATTTTAAAAACGCAATCGTCTAGAGACTGCATTTTGTTAAAATATGCCAGATGGCACTCTTTGTATTCAGTTTTGTCTAGAACTAAACTTTTTATGAGTGACGAAAATAGACATACAAGAAATTATGTATTTACTTTTTGAAAAATTAAATGAATTGCAGCAACAGTTTATTTTCAACGTTATTTCAATGTTTACCATGGTAACAAACTAACAAACATTCCAACAGAACCTGCATTTTGAGTATATGTTTCTCATTTGATACAATATTCCAAGAAATACATTTCCTGTCATAATTTTCCACCTACATTTAACATACCCGTATCAATCTTTTGACAGATTCAGACCTTTAAGGATAGTCTGCCAAATTTAGGCAATGCAGCAGCAGCATTCGATAGAGCAATTGAAACAACAAGAGCTAACATCAAGTGGATGGAGAGTAACTTCCAAATTATAAAGGATTGGTTACAGAGTCTAAAATAGTTGGAAAAACAATGTAGTTGCATTTTTCAATTAAATTCACTGTCAATATTTGTTATTTGATTTTTTCTTTAAATTCTTCATTTATTTTGAATATTTTAAATGAAAAACAATAGTGAACGAGCGTAACATATGAAATGAGATACGTAAACACCATATGTGTGGTAAGATGGTATAATATTGCTGAGAAATGGGAATTTGACAATAGGAAAGTAAAGTATAATAGCATTAATGGTACCAATGTTTCTGCACAAGATGCGCATTTCGACATATGTGAAAGTCTCTTCAGTGATGCTCGAGGCCAAAATATTTGAAAATCCACAACTTATTAAAAATAAATGGAGAATGTGTCCATGAAAAAAAATATACAAAGAAAGGGAGAGTCTCGTCTTTAAAATGTAAGACGTCACATAATGGTACTGAAATGTATGAAAGTCTTTTTAAAAAAAGGATAATTTAATAAAAAGGGACCTTAATATAATGCTTAAATCAAAGAAATGGTGTACTGTTAACAAGCTTTACTCAAAACACCAAAATTACAAAAATATTTTGTATGCGGTATTTTGTGACAACTTACTCTATCGTAGTTATTTCTCACATATTAAAGGATCTATAATTAATCTAACAAGTTTATTTTCCTGTGTATATACATGTAGTTTATATAGCATTGAAATTGATATTATAATAGAAACTGACAAATTTTTACTCAAGCTCAAATACCCCCACGCCCCCACATTGTCAATTTGTCACGGGGCAAACAAAATCTGACCAAATTCCGAAGTTAAAAGACTGATAACTCCTACAAAAGACAACAAATAACATATTGGTGTGGGTATGCACATCTTCATAATATGTTCTCAAAAATTTCATGAAATTCTGTCACGATGTCAAACTGTTGCAGTAGTATATCATGGCCATAAATTTAAAAGGGCAACTCCAAGCAAAAAAATTTTAATCCTAATTTCCTATCAATATGCATATCTACATTGTATATGTCCTTATTATCTAATTATCTACAAAGTTAAATGAAATTCTGTTGTGTGGTTTCACAGGAGTTGCGCTGATAAAATGTTGCAGTAGTGTATAATGGCCAAATTTCTAAGTTCAAAGGGGCATAACTCCTAGAAAAAACATTGAATCATAATAACTTGTAGTGTGTACTATCATCTATGAAGTTCTGTTGTGTGTTGTCAGAGGAATTGTGATAACAAGAACAGGACTGACAGACAGACTGACGGACGAACGGGTCAAAAACTTTTTACCCATTCAAATTCTTGTGTAAGGTATTATAAAGTGACTATATTATAATGATAACTTTATATTGCTTTTAGTCAGATGAAGTTAAAACCTATGTGACATTATATACATTTGCTTCTATAATTGCAACAGCTTCATAAAGTTTTTCATCTTGTTCCACATTTTCTTCAATTCCTCTCAATTCAATAGACGGAACACCAGCACTATTATCAGTAATAGAATTTGAACTTATAGATCCTGATTTTAGTCTAGTCACTAGTGGTGCGAAGTAACTTTTAATTTGAGTAGGATTCAGCCATTCCTCCATCTTAAACATTCTTTCTCCATTTTCATCGCATGATTTTCTCAGTTCATCTGACAGCGCAAAAATAATTTGGGCGTTTCCCAGTTTTCTCACAATTAAACATATTTCATCTTAATATGTTTTAACTTTTGGTGAAAAGCGAATATTTGTGCTTTTGCCTTTTAGAGCCTATCCCTTATTCTTTATATTACTTCTTGTATCTGACTGCGAAGCTGCACTCACTGTTTGAATCAAATTTATTTGTGTATCCTGAACAGAAACAGACATACAAGCATATACTTCAACTGCAGTATCTAATCCAGATTTTTTTTTCTATATGAATGATTTCCAACTAGAATATGCTTTTCCAGATGTGTTGCTCTAGCAAAAGTTTTGTTACAGGAAAGATCGGGACAACAGAAAAGTTTACATTTTGACTGTCACGTGCACTGGTTGGTTCATTTGCTGAGTGTTGTGCTGTTTTTAGGATATGAAACCTTCCCGGCTGTTTTACTACCTGTAAAGGGTTCATGGACATAAACAATCAAATACATATGTATTGTCAAATATTCGTTGAACAAAATATTTCATTTATGATAAGCATTCTGAGTGTATTTTTAGGCAATAGCCACATTAAAAGGTCCCCTACCAGCCACAGTGTAAAACTCAGACTTGATTTGTAACTCACGTATGGACGGACAAACAAAAGAACGGACGAACAAGGGTAACACTGAATGCCACCTCCGGTGCCGGCGGGGGCATAAACTGAAGAGCTTACACACCAAAAAAGGACAAACGTATAGCGACAGCCGGGCAAGGAATTATAGCTTTGCATTAGGGAGATATATTCCTTAATTCAAAATGATTTCCAAAATTTGTAACAGCAAATTTTAATAACACAACATCTGTACTTTCGTGCCAGTACTGAAACACTGGCTACTGGACTAGTGATACCCTCGAGGACTAACAGTCCACCAGCAGACGTATCGAACTAGTGGTAGTAATAACATTAAGGGTATCAATGTTTCTGCACAAGATGCACATTTTGACAAATAATGTCTCTTTTGTGATGCTCGAGGCCAAAATAATTGAAAATCCAAAACGTACTTTAAAAATATAAATAGGTATTAGAATTATATAATAAACTTTGTTAAACATGACTTACATAAAATTCACCACGACTAATGGAGCTGATTCTGCTTACTGTCCCGAAGCACTTACAATTCCTGGTTTTGTTGCGTTAGTGTTGCTCAGTCATCAATTTCCATTTTAGTGTTTTTAGATTGTTGATTGTGTTTTTGTTGTTTTTCTTCTTGTGTGTAGTATTTTCTGTTGGTCTTCGCTTCTGATTTTGAAAGAGGGACGAAAGATACCAGAGGGACAATCAAACTCACAGATCGAAAACAAACTGACAACGCCATGGCTAAAAATTAAAAGACAAATAGACAAATAATAGTACAGATGACACAACATAGAAAACTAAAGACTAAGCAACACGAACCCCACCAAAAACTGGAGGTGATCTCAGGTGCTCCGGAAGGGTAAGCAGATCCTGCTTTACATGTGGCACCCGTCGTGTTGCTTATGTTATTACAAATCCGGTAAATAGTCTAATTCGGTAGGTCACATTCGTCAAAAGGAACGGGATTGTAGTTACGACATAAGGAACATATCCGATATCATCTGTGAAACGGTTATTCCATAACGGTCAACCAACTCGTAATGGCGTCCGTAAAATTTACAAAAGGATGATTTCAACTTCACCATTTGGAACTCTTGGTTTAATAGCTTCCTTGTGAGCAGCAATCCTCTATCAAGGAAATCATGATAGGAAATACAAGCCCTGTAATATCGTATCAATTGGGAGATATATACTCGAATTGACTCTTTGGTACCTTCATCCTTGATTATTAACAAGATGATTCAAATACTGTTTGGAAGTCAGACCTTGGCTCATATCTTTATATTGAAGACATGTAATAACATGTAGCTATTCACCTCCCTTGATAAGAAGTTATTCGTCACCATAATGCACTTTTACACACACAAAATTGAGAGAAAAAAAATCAAGAAGAAAAAAAAAGTTTTAAGTCCAATACGAACATAAAACACCTTGGTCTAAAGGGAAAACGATGAAATGACAGACCAAAGCTAGACTGGTTCCCCTTCCTTTACCTATTTGGCTCTGACAGATATAACAACAAAGGTATCTGAGATACCCGTATGTTGTCAAGGAAGGGGACCAACCTAAGACAAAAGTCAACAGAACACTTCAAAGAACACTAAAGATTGAGCATTAACAACCGTAGATTTCGTGGACTTTTTAACGTCAACAACGACTGTAGCGCCACCTAATTAATTCCCCCTGCTATTGTTGCTGATAGAGCTTGACGACAACGGACGTTTCCAAGGACTTGCTTTCCAATTAAATCGGGTAGGCAGTTACTGTTCTACTGACATGACTAATTACACCAGTCGCGTTACTCGTGTTACTCGATTTAAATCATGTGGTTACGTCCTGAGGAACATATCTAAGTTTGTGTTTCTTAGTTTTCAATTATTTTGGTATTCTTAATTTGACTGCAAGAACATTGTTCGATTTGGTAAAGGACTTTCCGTTTTGAATTTTCCTTGGAGTTCGGTATTTTTTTTTTTTTTTTACTATTTTTGAACAGTACTGCATTTACAATAACAAAAATAACAAAAAATAACGTAAACAATCAACGAGACGTTTTTAATTTTTGACTTGTCGGCTAAAGTTAGGAAAAAAAATGCCGTTATAGACTAAAATTCATTTTACATTACAAGTTAGGGTAAATACCTGCTTTTTAATTTTTTTTCATTAGAAGCTCCTTTCAGAAATGAAAAAAGTGTACCAATTAATAACACAAAATCACCTTACTCACATAAACAAAAAACATTTGTAGATAGCAACCAACGACAATCACTTCATTGAAGGCTTTTGATAATGGACAGCTGTATAGAATTTAATTGCTTGTTAGCGCTCGACTTCACCTTACAGTGGACAATACTGAAACAGCACAACGCAAGACAAAACTGTAAACATCAGCTGAAAGGGGCTTGTCCGATACGATCAGCACAAAGTAATATAAAAGAACAAGCTGACATAAGACAAAAAACACAAAGAGCAGTTCTAAAAATACTAACATGTACTCAAAGCTAGTTTTTAACTAATAAATATGCTAAAATACAGATTTTTAAAGACGCAATCTTATCTATCTGTTCGTAAAACGGAAAGATGTTAACGTTGCCATGCCATCAACATGTCTCATAACTTTATAGAACACGCACTTGCACATTAATTCAGTCTTGTTCAGCGCAGCTGATATTTGTTCACGTGGATTGTAATACGCCTGGTCCTATCCATGAAGTATTAGATTGGGTCAAGATCATCTGACGATTTCAACCATGCTGACTTATTTGTAGAACTTGTCTTGCTGATAATTTTTGCTGAATAAAGTTTCTCTCTGTATATGATTGTTTTTACGATAT